CCTGCAGTGGCATACAAGGGTGTAATCCTGTCATCTGTGCCCTATTCCCTCTCTAGCTGCTGCCTTCTCTGCCAACACAATATTACATTTTGGTTAGAACAGTTGTCAGTCTCTGATTATTATGACCATGGAAACACTGTTCAATGCTGAGAAAAAGAGAAGCTGTAATCATCTCTACTTTCTTATACAACTGTTTATTTTCATGGCATTAATAATTGCCTCATTTCTTCATTTGCCTGACTTGCTGTGTTCCTATTGTTAATTGCTCCCATATGTTACAACATCTCTTCCACATGCCCATAAATAATATTTTCCATATGCTCAAGTAGAACAGTTATTGTTCTTTCCTACGCATCTCCACACTTTTTTTCCACTTGGAGTTGGTTATTTTCTAGACTTGCAGAGCAACCGAGACTTCTCTTTGCTCTTCCCTCAGTTGTCATCTGGATTGGTCTCTCTATTTACTGAATCCTATATCATCCTCTTTCTTGATTTAGCCCTTTATTGTGCTGAAATAGAGCCTTTAGTATTTGCAAGTAGGAAGTAAATTTTTTGAAACCTTAAATATCTGAGAATGTTTACTGAGATCTAAACATTTTCCTCTTAACTTGACTGATAGTTTTTCTGGGTATAAAAAAATCTAATTTGTAGATAAATTTTCCCCATAATTTTGAAGGCTTTGTCCCACTGAGTTCTGGCTTTCATTACTGTTGTTGCAAGGTCTGACACTATTCTTTTCTTTGAACTTTTTATTATTTATGTTACTGTTTTTCTTTTGAAGTTCTTAGAGTCTTTTGTTTGTCCATGATGTTCTGAAATTTCATAGTAATTTTGTTTAGTGTGGGTATTTTTCTTATCCATTGTACCGTATACTTGATGGACTTTGAATTTGGAGTTTCATGTTCTAGAAAGTTTCTTTCCATTCTGGAAAGTGTTTCTTATTTATCACTTCTTTCCCACTGTTTTATATGACTCTTACTTTCTATAATACCTTTTATTGTCATGTTGACTCTCTTAAGCTGATTCTCTAATTTTGTTACTACTTTTTTCTTATTATTTTTCGTCTTTCTGAAAGATTTTTCTACTTTTCTTTAAGTCTTCCTCCTGTATTTTTATTCCAACTTTCTTCCTTGTTTTAATGTTTAATTTTTTTATGATTTTTTTTTCCCATGTGGATATCATCCTGTTTTTGTTTCATAGCTGGAAATTCTTCCCTCATCTCTCTGTGAATACTAATTGTAATTGTTTTGAATAATTTGTAATCATTTTGTTTGTAATTGTACTTCTAAGAATAATATTGTAATTGTAATTTGTTTCCTCGGGGTTCTTTTTTGTTGTTGTTGTTTATTTGCTCTCATGTTAGAGACTTTCCTTACATGTCTGATGAACTTTAGCTGTCTAGTCATATTAAAGAGAGATATGCTAAAAAGTTAATGGAAAACTTATACATAAGTGGGGCTTGTCAATTAGTAGAGCTCTTGGTAGGGTGATATGATAAGAAAGCAGGACTTTTACTATGGAACCCCCAAAGTCACTCTTTTGTAGCATTTGTCTTAGGTTATTTTATTTTTCCAGAGAAGAATTCAGTAGTCTCCTGCCTGTGCTGTATAACCTGGCTTGAGACACCCTGAAGGAGGGACAAGAAAAGGAGATGAGTCTCAATCTCCACCCTGTCTTCCCTGTGCTAGACTTCTTGGTCTTCTTATTCTCTCCAGAGCATAAATCTCCAGTCTTCTGTCAGGAAGAGCAAGATGAGAGGAAGCAGTAATGGGATAATTGCTTGGCTGCCTGGACAGAAGATGGAGCCAGATGGGAATAGGAAGGAGGCAAATCATTTTAAGTGTAAACTTTCATCCGGTCTCTTTTTATTTCAAGCCCTTTCCCCTTGGTAGAACCCTGTACCCAGGGTTCAGTAGGTGCCCAGTAGGTGAAACAGACAGACTTATTGCTATCTGCCGCCTCTCTAGAAACCCAGGGCCTTGCTGTCTCTCTCCCTCTGCTAAATAGTGTCCATCCAGTTTCAGCCACTTTCCATTTTTCAAAAAATTGTTGAAATCTCTCCACTACTGTTGTCCTCTCTTCTGGTTTCTTGGTCCTTATAGATTTATATCTTTTCAGTTTCCTTTATTTTCATTTTAGTAATGTTTTGAAAAATGATTTGCCATGGTTAAAACCAGAAGCCTCATTCTTAAAGAATATAATTTTTGACACTTTAAGTAGTTGAAAGCGTACCCCCAATTAATTGCTTTTCTAAATGCTTAATACGTTTTTCTGTTAAATGTTTTAGACAAATGTGATTCTTCTAAATCTTTAACTTCATACTCCAGGTACATATTTTAAAAATCACTGCATAAAGAAATGACTTGACTTCAGTTCAGTTCAGTCGCTCCGTTGTGTCCAACTCTTTGCGACCCCATGAATCGCAGCACGCCAGGCCTCCCTGTCCATCACCAACTCCCGGAGTTTACTCAAACTCATGTCCATCGAGTCAGTGATGCCATCCAGCCATCTCATCCTCTGTCGTCCCCTTCTCCTCCTGCCCCCAATCCCTCCCAGCATCAGGGTGTTTTCCAATGTGTCAGCTCTTCACATGAGGTGGCCAAAGTATTGGAGTTTCAGCTTCAGCATCAGTCCTTCCAATGAACACCCAGGGCTGATCTCCTTTAGTATGGACTGGTTGGATCTCCTTAAAGAAGCACAAGCTGGAATCAAGATTGCTGGGAGAAATATCAATAACCTCAGATATGCAGATGATGTTGCTTATTACCTACCAAAGACAGATGCTGTTGGAATTGATTCTATCAATGGTTAGCTGGCCTTCTATGATGCTTCCTCATTTTCTTACCTACTCTCTCTGAGGGGAAACATCAGCATTGGTAAGGCAGTTAGCAAAGTTTAAGAAGTTTCAATACTGTGGGATTTGTATTTCTTCATTAAGTCATCTTACTTCTATGGAAATTGACCCCATAAACTTGCATCCTCCTTAGCATCCTACTGCACTCAGCTAAAGTGACTGCTCCCAGAAAATAAATATCATATTGTATTCCCTTTAAGATGATGTAAGAATTTGAACCTAATATACAGAATCTTACAAAAGCAATTGTCAAGCCTGTTTTTTTTTCCTTTGCATGATTCAGAATTGTTGTTTTTGTTTTTGTTTTCCTTCCAGAATTGGAGAATCCATGTCCTTATAACTGAGCTCAATTCCACATTTAATTTCTGTTGTGTTTAATTGGCTTTGTAAACCTAGCTTGAATACAATTCCGCACATTGAACATACACTCAGAGAGCACCTCCATTTGCTAAATAGGGAAATGAAATAGATTCTACATATGCTTCCCCAAAACCTTGCTACTGGTGACAAGATACTGCAGTATGCCTTGAGGCACCTAGGGATCTACTAATTGTATGCAGGCTTTGCTATAGGAGCATGAGCTGATGTTGACCTGATCTGTAACTGGACTCTTAGGACTGTCTGGCAGCTTCTGTAACATATTAGAACCTTGGCCCCGGTTCTAATTGGCATCAAGTTAGAGTGTATCTGCATCCACAAGACAGTTTAACTTTCTACGTAAGAGAGATCATAATATCTTTCTTTCTTTAGCTATGATGCATTTGTACTTTACAGGGTTTTTGTTTTAACTAAGATGTAGCTGAGATTTCAAGATTCCCATTTGAATCTACTTCTCTATCACTGAAATAGAGTCTAGAAGCTGCTGGTCCTGGCCCCATGTCTTGAAGAAATTATATAGCATTATATTTCTCTGGCTTCAGGCCCTAGGCATTCTTAATCTTCAAACTGTCTGAAAACTTTAATAGAAAGCTTCATCTGTAATCATTTATAACAGAACCAGTGGAGACAAGATTGCTTTAGTTAGTAGTTTACCAGCTCAAACTGAGTACTCTCTAGTTGGAATGGAAACTCAATGAAGAAAAAACTCAGAATAAGTTTTCACTTACATTTTATATCTTACTTGGCAACTGGTTTGAAAATGTTGCATAAAAGATCCAACACAGGAAACATTTTATACAACTGCTTATGATTAATAAATATGGAATTTGAAGCATTCCATTTTATAAATCAAAGTCTTAGCCCAAATTTCCTGTTTTTCTACACTTAAAAAAAAAAAAACCCTTAGGGTAAAAATAGCACTAAACTGTATAGGGTACTCCAGGGGTCAAGGCAACAGGCAAAATCAATTACTCAAGATGCCATGGTGCTGAGACTTTTGTCAGACCATTAGCAGAAACATTCATTTTTCAGTCACTATAGATAAAGCATTTGGTGCAGCTGGTTTTATAAAAATATAAGAAAATATATCCTTCAGATTTTCTATGCCTATTGAGAAGAGGAAAGGAATGGATAACAAAATGGTAAGTCAGTGACTTGGAAATACAGTCTCACACATTGCTAGTTCATAGACCACACCAGTCATGCTAGTCAAAGACTTTTATTTTTACTACATGTTAATTTTAACCATATCTCTTTCTGCCTGTACTTTACAAACCTGGCCACTGGCTTCCACTTTTAATACCTGCACCACCACCTCAAAACATATATTCACTCACTCACACATTTGACTTTTGTTCATAGATTTTCCTGTCTTAGGTCATCTGCACTTTCTCACTTTTACAAATTCTCTCAGCCAGCCCCTGCATAATAGCCTACAGTGGATGTTGCAACATTTCTTTGTCCGTATTAACAGGATATTCTGAAGAATACATGCATGACAATAGGTACTTCGGGATTCTTACCGTTAGTTGACACCTCATCATGCTAAGTGAAGTCGTGTCTGACTCTTTGCGACTCCATGGACTATACAGTCCATGGGATTCTCCAGAAATCCAGGCCAGAATACTGGCCTTCTCCAGGGGATCTTCCTCACCCAGGCATCGAATGCAGGTCTCCCACGTTGCAGGCAGATTCTTTACCAGATGAACCACCAGGGAATGGCTCATCATGCTAAGATGAAAGTTTTCTCATTTACGTTTCTTTATAGCCTAAAGAATGTTTCTTGATACAACCGAAGGAAACAAATGAAGATACCGCCAAGACCAGGAAGAGGAAAAAGGTAATATTAATTATTTTTTACAATGGTGTGGCCCTGCATGGTTCCCATCACACTGTTATATAGTGTACTTTGGTGAGGCAGTTATTGTAATCCCCACTTTAGAGATAGTTGTAAAACTCTTTGAGGTTTGGTAACTCCCTTAAAGTCACGAGTAAAAAGTGTTTCTGCTGGAGCTAAAAATAAATTCTTCGAATTCCTATTTCAGTCTTGTGGATTACCAGGCATCTTTGTTACCCTGTATTTTCACTGTGGTTAGAAGTCAGACATGGGTTTCTAATTCTAGAAGGGGCCCAGAGCTGTCCTGCCCTCTGGCCCCTCTGGATTTATCCAAGAAAAGAAATTTACCAACCTTCTTTTCTTAACCATTTCATTTTTTAAAAATCTTATATCTTAGAGCATTAATAAGAAAAGATTAAGCAGATGAAAGTAGTGTAAGTATAAGGCATTTCTGACTCTTAAGTTCGAACCATAATTTAAAGCAAAAGACTCCCCTTGCATTTTCAGACTTGCCTGTGAACATATGGGAAACACTGTTGCTCCTATACAGACTTTCTTATGGCTCAGCCTTGAAGAAAGTGTGGTTAGCTTTGACCTTCTACCACTGTTGTGAAAACAGCAGTGTAATTCTCTCCCTGCCAAGAAGGGTCTACTGCTGCAGTCAGCAGAGGAAATATGATTGGGATTAGAAGAAAGAAGATGGACTCAAACCAATTACTTAACAGCAAGCTTTTAGAAAACTGAGAGTGTGTGTGCATATGTTTTCCTTGCCTGCATATGGCCAAATAGGAAGATGGGAGATGCCAAATTGGCTGAGGTTTGGCAAGTCCTTAAAGAAATGACTTTAACTTCTCTTTGATAGTTTGTACACTGATGGCCTCAAGAGTGTTACGTTCTTGGGGCTCAAGGTCAGAACTCTAGCTGTATAGTTTAGCCTTGGCTGAGGTCTGGCTGAAATGTGCCCAGTGATGACATTTTTTTTTTTTTGTAAAGTTAATTCATTTTGCAGAACTTCGTTCTTGGCAGTGGTATGAAACAGAAGATAGTATGGACGGAGCGGGGAAAAGGTGGTGGAGGAGGCAAGGAAGGGCTCTTTCTGAATTTCTGGTGAAATATTAGAAAGATATAAGAAGGGAAGTTCATGATGAAAGTTAAGTGAACAATTTGTGTTCCGAGTACATTGCAGGCATTTAGTATATGCTACACAAATAAATCCAAATCAAAATAGATGTTGTAGAGCCTTTCCTGTTCTGCTTTCCATGGGGCCAGTTCGAGATGTCTCTGCCAAGACTTGAGCGTTGAGGATCTTATGCGCACTTTTTCAGCGTGCTCCTTTGGTGAGATTACTCCTGCAGCTCTTACTTTAATCCCAGAAAGCCAAACTGAAACTCAGTGCCTTAATAACCAGGTAACACAAGAAATTCTCAAACTCTATTCTCCCAGGAATACACATTGTCTGAAGCTTAGAAAGGGGTTTCCATAAGCAACAAGGTTTAGGGCTTTTAGGGCTTCCTTGGTGAAAGTCGTAGTTGCTGAGTAGTGTCCAACTCTTTGCGACCCAGTGCACTATAGCCCACCAGGCTCCTCTGTCCATGGAATCTCCAGCCAAGAATACTGAAGGGGGTAGCCGTTCCCTTCTCCGGGGGATCTTCTCAACCCAGGGATCAAACCCAGGTCTCCCGCATTGCAGGCAGATTCTTTACCATCTCAGCCATCAGGGAAGCCCAAGGTGGCTCAGGGATTAAAGAGTCGCCTGCCAGTGCAGGAGACATGGGCTTGATCCCTGATCCGGGAGGATCTCACGTGTCCAAAGCAACTAAGCCTGTGTGCCACAGCTGTGGAGTCTGCGCTCCGGAGCCTGGGGCTGCAGCAGCTCCACTCACGTGGCACGCGCCCCGCAGAAGGAGAAGTCACCGCAATGAGGGGCCAGCACACCGCAACTAAGAGCAGCCCCTGCTTGCCACAACCAGAGAAAAGCCTGTGCAACACTGAAAACCCAGCATGGCCAAAATAAATAAATAAATAGTAAAATAAATAAAAATTCTAAAAAAGATAAAAACCCCCACAAGGATCATTTACAGAAACTGACCACATACCTGGGCATAATGCAAATATCAATAACAGTTTTTAAAGAAGTAGTATCATACTGACTGGAAGCTCTGTATATAACACAAGTAAGTGAAAGAATCACAGAATAAAATCAACACTGACTGACTTTTAACAGAAAATAGTGCCAATTATAGACTCCTGCAAAATTTTTACTTCTCCTAGAAATCATAGAGCAAGGAGTCTTTTAGATCATTCACTTTTCAAAGCAGTAGTTATGTCTAAAAAGTATCTTTCAAGTTTTCTCTAGTGTATTTATGAGCACTCCCGTTCACGCTTTGCCATCACCAGAACCTATTCAGTTTAAATGCCAAAGGAAGCAACCTATCCTCAGCCAAATGCCACTCTAAAAATCTGTCTTCCCATTTTTACTTCTTTCTCATCAGAAGAAAATTACTGATATTCTTGCAAAATCAGAGCCAAAACCAGGGACACCTGAAGACCTACAGCAGCTGATGAAGGACTATTATAGCAGCAGTCGCTCCGTGATTGAATTAGAAGAACTAACCCTCCCAGGTACAACCAGGCTTCCTGTTGTTCTTCCCTCCAATGAATGTATTTTCCGTGTGCTAGTACTCCTTTCCTGAACCTTATCGTTTTAACTGTTGGATAATTTCTTCATTAAGATGCTAAATGGTATTTGTTCAATCTAATAGATTTGTAAATTTTTTTACTGCAAAGGTATTGGGTGTGTTTTGGGGGCAGATTTTTCAATGAATAAGAATCTTTAATAAGGATAGAAGTTAAATAAAAATAAAGCACACATTTAAAAGTATAGATGATTAATTTACTCATCCTTTATAGACAAGAACTTTAGCTTTAATAACATTTTAGTTTTGTTGTTGCCCTCATTGTGGATGTCTAGTTATCATTCTGCTTTTAGGGTAGTATTTTAGCTTCCAGCCAAGACTTTCTCAAGTAAGCTGTCTAAAGATATGAACAAAATTCTACATTTTTTAGCAAGGCTGACACCTCACCCTCTATGATTCTTAAATCTACTATTCTATGAGATCTACTACCTTAGAATATTTATAATTAAGTTAAAAATATTGGAAAATTCTTCTTAAAACCAATTTTAATTAATTTCAAAATAATGACATAATCTATTACTCTCTTGTTCCGAGACTGAAGAAAAAAGATGTCATAAAATCAAAAGATCGGGCACCACTGCTTCAGATAAGCTAAGGCAATGGCAACCCAGTCCAGTACTCTTGACTGGAGAATCCCAGGGACAGAGGAGCCTGTTGGGCTGCCGTCTATGGGGTCACACAGAGTCGGACACGACTGACGCGACTTAGCAGCAGCAGCAGGAATACCTAACACCTAACACCGCCTTTGGAAAAAGTCAAAGGCAGCTTGATTTCCTTTTTCCATTACAACTGTATACTTTCTGGAGACTTGAGAAGCTGAAAAACAGCCCGTTCCCTGAATTTTTATAATTCTTTTATAAAATGATGTGTGCATGGTTTTTTTTTTAATGCACACTGGATTGGAGACACCAGTTCCCCTATCTGTTCCTTTTCCAAAAGAAATGCCCTGTAGAGAATTGAAGGAGCTCATTTCCACATGACTGAGTCCTGAAGTTTCCTACTTACTGAGCTCAAAAACCCAAGAGCAATTAGAGACGACTCTTCTAAGCGCAGCGGCTCCTCCTGACTCCTCTATCTCAGGAACCAGGTGCTGTAACGAAGCCTCTTCACGGTTTAACTGAAGTCTGATTTCACTGTGACGCAGCAGTCAATTTTCCCGTCTAGTTCTTTATTATAATTGCAGAGAGTCATAAGTCAGAAGAAATCTTTAAGGAGTCACTTGAGTTCCATAGTGAGTTTGTATTATATCATCATTAGAGTTCAATAATATAGTTAGATAAGATTATGTGGTCATGATTGACTTAGGGGAAAATATTTAAAGTATGTTAAAAGAGGACTGTTGTAGCCAAAAGGAACAGGTTTTCATTTTTAGTTAAGAAATTAGGCCATTCTGAGTCACAGTGTAGGAAAACATCATAGGAAGGTTTTAGAGAAAAAGCCCATCACTACCCTGTCAGGGCCAAGGCAAAGAGGTCGTCTCTGTTATTTGAAGGAGGGACATGCCATAGGTTATCAGAACAGTCTCAGGAAGGGGCATATATTACTTATATGGATATAAGTAATAAAATATTGTTCCTGTTTAGTTTGCCCAGTGTCTGACTTGGTTGTGGTTTGCAAGTTGTTTGTGTCTGTAGGGCAGGAACATGTCTTTTCAATTAATACTGTGCACTGTACATTGTTAATGTCATATACATGGGAACTTAATTAGAGTTTTGAAGCAAGAATCACTTAGAGCTAACTCAGCTGTCCTCCTGAGAGCTACATTGTAGTTCAGATCAGTGCAAAATGCCTCTAAGCACTGAATCACCCAGGAACTTAAAAAGCAAATTCCCAGACCTAGCCCCAAGGAATTCTGAATTATTGTGCCAAGGGGACTCCTTCAAGGAATCTGTATCTATATTGTAATGCTCTGCAGGTGAGTCTGATCACATCCAGACTTGGGAGATTACAATTTTAAAGATCATCACAGCCTCTACAACAGGATATAGAGGGCAACATCTTTGAAGTTACTCACACACTGTGAATTTGTATGCACTGGGTCATAACATAAGTCTCATTTAATTCAGCAATAGTTTACTCCCTAACATTCTGATGTATTTATAGACAGACTTCTTCTGGTATAAAGAATTTGGATGATAAACATGCTTTTTTATACATCTTAGGTACAGTGTTAATAATACTACTTAATTGCTAGACCATGATCATCATTGGTTGATAAGGCCCCTATGTTTTACTGCAGTTTGTTTCATTGTCTTTCATTGTGTTGTTGTGCTGTGTTGTGTTAATGTTGTATTTTGATGTATTATTCCTGCTCTTCCCCACCCACACTCCAGTTTCCTTTCTCCATAGGCATCAACTCTAATGGGTTACTGTTCGTTTTTAAATATGCATATGTCATATTGTTGCATGTGGAAGCATTTTACAATTTATTTAAATGAAGCTGTGCTGAGCCTCTCATTCTCCTTCCCCCCTTAACGCTTTTTCAGGATGCCGGTATAGCTTTATGTACGTGTAGTTAATTGCTTCTAAAATGCTTTATACTATTCCAGTCATTTATTTCATCTACCACTTATTGCTCATGCATTTTCTCCCATAGATGTTTAGGTTGCTTCTAGTTCTCCAGCATTACAAATAATACTTGTATGAATGTTTTGAGTGTGTCTTTATAGACTACACGAGAATTTCTTTCCATAATGTTTCTTTCTTTCCATTACACTCCAGGAATGTAATCCTGGGTTTACAGGGTATATGCACCTTAATTTTATTACTGTCCAGCATAGCAGTACCACTTTACACTTCCACATGTAGTTCACAAGAATTTCCATCATCTTACCTTCTCAGCAACACTTGGTAGATTATACTTCTTTTTAACAATTGCCATTCTAATGTATATGCAAAATGTTATCCCCTCTTATAGTAATTTGCATGTCTATGGTGACTGGTGAGTTTGGGCATCTTGACAAAGATCCGTGAGCTGTTTCAGGTTTACCTTTGTGTATTGTCTATTTCCATGGATTTGAAAATAAAAATGTTTCACTAGTCCATTGAATGATACAACAAGCTTCTATTTCACTACTCTAAAAAATGATGGACAGTTAAGTCTTATTGTTGGTGCTGCTGTTGTTTTAAATGCTAGACCACACTTTAAAATAAATGAGTCCTCAACTCATTAATGTTGTACAAACTATTCAAGAATACATCATTCACATTTAATGTTTTGAGTGTGTGTTTGCAAAATCCTCTACAAAGTATGCTTCTCATATTTCTAGACTCCTGCTTCCTCAAGGCCAATGATTTAACTCACAGTCTTTCATCATATCTAAAAGAAGGTAAGTAAACTCATTTTTTTAAAAACTATTCATCAAATTGTTATTTCCATTAAAACATGAGGGCTGTCTCTTTAGAATAAAAACTTTTAAAACCTCAAATTTAAAATGAAGTTTCCATCCTAAGTGGATTTTAAATTAATGTTTTTTAGGTCCATATTAATATTAATTTTTATTTACTTTAATTTTTTCTTGTTTTTCTCTGGTTTTGGGGATTTGAGTTTTGGTCTTGTTTTTGTTGTACAGCGCATTAGATGTATTGCTGTTGGAATCCAGAGAATTATATTAGTGTTCTCGTCCCAAGTACCTCATCAATTTGATGTTTGACTTGGCACAAGTTACTGAGGACTCCTCCAGGATTCTGTTTTGTTATCTGAGAGACAAGGAAGTGGGACTATAATCTTGACCCCAACTCTGAGATTCTGAAATTCTGTTCCCATGTTCAGAACTCAGACTATGGCTATTGCTCAGCCTGACTTTGTCTTTTTACTTGTATATAGGCAGTAATAATTAGATTATTCATGCTAGATAGTCATTTATTGTGAACCAATAATGAACTAGTTTAGATACAGTAATTTAACATTCTTTTTTCAAATTCTAACCAATTCTGATGACACTCAACTTGAGTTCATAAGCCTTTCTTAACCTCAAATACAGCAAATGTAAATGCAGGTAGTAATAGAATCAGGCTCACTGGATTATTCAGTTTTCTTTGTCTTTTTTTTTTTTTTTGTACAGACTGTTTTTACTTAGTCCTAAAACTGGTCACATTTAGCTACTTGGCATATTATATGTTTTCTGGTGTAAATTAATGATGTTCCATTTTAATATCTAGAATAACCAGAGAACAGTATCTAAACAACGTTCATTATATTAAATAATAATGAAGTAATTGGAGAATATTCAGCTTTGGAGGCCTTATTTTGCTATATGTAGGGTAATGTTTTTCTTATGGTCTTTTTTCAGTCTGCCCCAAGTAATTGGAGAATATTCAACTTTGGAGGCCTTATTTTGCTATATGTAGGGTAATGTTTTTCTTATGGTCTTTTTTCAGTCTGCCCCAAATGGGTGAAACTTCGGAAAAACCACAGTGAGAAGAAATCAGTCCTGATGCTGATTATCTGTGGCTCTGCCATCCGAGCTCTGGAGCTCATTAGGTTGGAAGCTCCACCTGTTCTATTTCGTGAATGTTTTCTGAGTAGCCGATATATGCCAAGCTGATATGTTCTGTTTGCTGGCAATGTAGCAATGAACGAAATACACAGAGTCCCTTCTCTCATGGAACTTACTCTCCAGTGAGGGAGACAGATGATAAACAAATAAAATACATACTGTAATGTCAAGTGGTGATAAGTTATGTAAGAAAAAAACAAATCATGGCAAAGGAATAGAAGAGAATGGGGGCTGCTTTTAAAAGGATAATTGCAGAAAACCTCTCCTAGGAGACTGACATTTGGACAGAGAGTTGAACACAGTGAATGAGAACGCCAAGCAGATGTCTGGAAGAAGAGTGTTCCAGGCAGAGGGCATAGTAGGTACAAAAGGCCCTGAGATGGAGTGCTACTGGAGAATTTTGAGCAGAGGAGTCATGTGATCTTAATTATCATTCTAAAGGATCACTTCCGCTCCTGTGTGAGCCTCTACACTTTGTAGAGGACAAGGGTGAAAGCTGGGAGATTATACAGGCAATAACCAATTTGGAGAAAGAAAAGATCTAATTTAAAACCATATAACAAGAAAAAATAGAATACCAACTCATAAACCTCTCAAAATTTAGATAAAGATAAACCTCCTTTTACACAAGGGATGCAGAACTTCTTAAACGGAAAGGTGAACCATGTTGTTAAATTGGAAAATTTGATGTAAACATATCTGTTTACCTAGAATAATCTACACATTTCATGGATTTCCAATGAAACTTCTATAAAGATGTTTTTTAAACTAGATAAAGTAGTTCTAAATTCATATAATACAGAAGAAATAATAGCTGTGGAAATTCTAAAAGAGAATGCTAATGAAGGCCTATAGTATCCATCAGATTGTTTTATTAATAACCATATTGCAAAGTCTCAATAATCACAACAGTATGGAACTGGCATGTGCATGACAGGTCAAAACAGTGGAGCAGAATTATACGTTCATAAGCAGACCCGTATGTATATGTACAGAATGTGGCAAAAGTGACAAGTTAGTAGGGAAAGATAGATTTTAATAATTGGTACTGAAACAACCAGGTAGCCATCTGAAAAAATTAGCTTGGATCCACATCTCACTTCTTATACCAAGATAAATGCCAAATGGACCAGAAATTTAAATATAAAAATTACATTTTATAGATAATTTGTAGGTTCTTTACTAAGTGCTTTCACATACCTTTTCATTTACTGTAGCTTTTGTAGAATAAACAAAAAGGCTTCCACTGAATCTGTAGTAACATTCAGTATTCAAAGAAGATCCGTCAGAGTAAAATGGGATTTACTGGGACTCAACCCTCTCCGTCAGAGTAAAATGGGATTTGCTGGGACTCAACCCTCTCCGGGAGCCAGGCTTTTGCTTAGCTTTGACCAGAGACAAAACAAAGGAGAATCCAAGTCCTGAAGAAAAAGGAACTTGATCAAATAGACTTAAGGTGCAAAGTAGATTCTTGGTGGTTATTTAGCCTCTATTTTTCTAAATGAAGTAATCTGACCATGAGTAGTTTTTAACGATTGTTAATTGTCCTTCAAATCCTTCTTTCCTGCTCGGCACACACATTAAATTGTAAAATTCCCTCTCAGTAAAACAGAAGTGTTCCTTTTTTCTGCTCTAAACGTAATTGATGCTCAAGACTCCAACTGCTTTTGGACAGCTGTACTTGCTGGCTCTGAAATCATAAGAGTTCACATTGACTTTCCCGTGTTTGAAAAACTACTGCTGCAGAACTTATTTCAGATGCAAACACTGGTGACAAAGGGGTTGGCCTGAAGGTGGCTTCTTAAACACAAGTCGTCGCGTTGGTTTGCGCACACGAATGCCTTTCTGAGGGCGTGGGAGCACTGTGGTGTTGGACCTCACTTGCCAGCTCTCAGTGTTTTCCTGTCTTCAGTAGTGTTATCCATATCAAGGTTAGGTGGTTTGCAGAAGGTGACTTCTGAGCAGGCATACTGAACCCCATTCATAAAGGCGAATATTGAATAATTCTAAATTTTGCAAGATTACGTCTTCTCTTGAGAGCCACAAGCTGTATTAAATATGTCCCCTAAATTGTCTTCTTAGTTAACCTCACCACGGAGAAAGCTCGCATGTAGGTACAAACTCAACTGTAACAGAATTTGTGTAGAATGAGTCACCACTTTGTAAATTCATATATTCTCATTGGTCAGTAATATTTCTCAAGTATAATAGTGATATAGAAAGGAGAGTAATATCCCAAGCAGTATTCCCATGTTCTCGTCCCAAACACCAACTAGAAGATTGTTCTTTTATACCCAGTTTTAGACATTTATACCCAAAGCATTTCCACATATAAAATTTTACAGATAGGCTCACTCTGCAAAGTCAATAAAAATGGGGGGCTCCTCTGAATGCAGGACACGAGCCCGCTCACCCTGAGCCCTCTGGGCAGCCACACACAGACCTTTGTACGTGGACTTGGGCTCCGGGGAGCACAGGCTGACCTCACTGCTAAGATTCTCACAGCCAAATTTTGGGTGAGAACTATACTGCAGAGCTTGAAGATAAATTCTCTGCCAGGGCTCTAAAATACAGAACTTTTGTATTAAAGGTGTTAAAAAACAAAATCCAACCAAGTAAATTAAAGATCAGATCGACTTTTTCAACAATTCGTGGGTCAGGCAGCATCCCATCTGCTACTAGAAGGGCACTCACTCTGAGGAGCTGTGCACAGTGGAAGGTTTTTTGGGAAAAGGGTGGAGCAAGGGGAGAGCAGAATGACTTATTTTTAGGCCAAAACATCTTTTGGGGTGGGGGAGGAAGCAGCAAGGTTTTAGCTTCCTTTGGGGGTTGGAGAGGCCCACAGAACAGGTTACCTTGCTGGGGCTTGACCAGAAATTTCAGACTGGTTGATTAAGATTACATTTCTGAAAGAAGTTGAAACTAGTTAGACCAAATATTCAATCTGGGTTCAGTATCATGAGCTTTTAGCATGAGTGATACCATATTGGGACTGTGGTTTTCATTTTAATACAAGTAAAAGGCAAGTCCACATGTTTCAATAATCAAGGAAACCTAAGTAAATTTAACCTTGTGTCTGAAAGTTAAAAGCCAACCCAGATGCAGGCCTGAATAAAGGCCACCCCACTTTTGTTCCAGAGACGGGCTGAAAATCAGGATTTCTGTCTATGTGTGTATATCCACATATGTATGTACATATATACACACATAAATGTGCATATGCTTTTAAATAAATCAAAGTGTAATGCATAAGTAGTTGGCATGGCCCTGAATGAGTGAGTTTTCTTATGAGTCAATCTATTTCTTCTCATTAGGTCAATGACCGCATTCAAAGGAGACAGCAAAGTTATGAAATTATTTGCCAAACACATAAAGGTAAGCAAGGGCCTGTGGTTCCTGGTGAGAGCAGAAGTGATGCCTCGGGGCCACGTCAGACCTCAGTTTGTTCACTTCAACCACTTCACCTTAGCTCCTTGGTGCCTCGCTTACACATCTAACACCCAGTCTTGCTTTCTTTGCATTCCCTGCCTTTGTCCCCACAGCAGTCGCCAGTCCTCTGTGCTCTGATACTCCTGTCCAGAAGCTGAGGCTTGACCAGTTTTCTAGGGAGGCGTTCTCTTCCGTCTTGATGTTAACCTTTGCCCCGGAAGTTGACCTAAACAGGAGGAGCTCCTTGTGCTGTTTCGCTTTCTTAGCTTTTAGATTAAATGCTCTAAAATTGGGCTGTGGTTGAACTTTCCAACGACTCTTCTTTTCTGTCTTCTCTTCCATGTTGAAATAGGTCCAGGAGCAGGTAAAACTGCTGGAGAAGCGTGTAGTGCACCTGGGCGTAGGAACTCCAGGGAGGATTAAAGAACTCATCAAACAAGGTATGAAAAGAGGTAGTGATGCTCTGACTCAGAGCTGAGTGTCCGCCTCACCCTGTGTGAGTCTGGGAAATCACGTTTGTGATGCAGGGACGCCAGACCTCTTGTGTTTTTAGTTAACTCAGGGCAGGAAACTCAGCCTTTAGTCGCGAGAAAGCAGCCAGCAGCTGTAGTGCAGTGGGGAATGATAAGGACTGTTGCGAAAGACAGTATGTGTGCCCGTCTAAATACATTCCCATTCCAATTGCCTTAAGCAGGTGGGTGGAGTCACAGTTTAGTACACCAGTTTGCAGCCTCTGGACTTTGTGAGCTACTGTGTTGAGTGTTTCCCTCTCACTGAATTGAGTCTTGGCTCCCCAAGGCTCCCATTCCAGTTGAGGGCTGGTATAGAAAATATGTTGAAAGAAAGTGCAGTTTCTATGGATGAAATTCAAGTATTCTAGAACACTTCTCGCGAGTTCATTTCCTTTTAGTACTTTACCTAGAAAGTATTCCAGATAGCATCCACTGGTGGGTTTTTATAGTTTGATGACTTTCTCAAAGCCAGTAGCCTAAAAACCTTTTGGCCTCCTGATGATCTTAGTATATTTTTCTACCTGCCAGACAGATTAAAGTATCTCTTTTAAATGCTCATTTCCAAATGACTTGCTCAAAACTTTATTTTATAACTGTCTGGAGCTGTTCCTTGATTTCTGTGTGTCTAAAAATAATGTGTTCATCAACATAGTATCTCAGTATAGAGATGGTCTTTTACCTGGAAGCAAAAAAGAGCTAAAAATACTATTATTTCTCTCCGATGAAAACCAGGCATAAGCGAACCCACTATATGTAGAAGTCTGTGCAATTACAAGTAGCAAACTTGGTAGACCCAGACAAGGAGAGGGAAACAAATATTTTTTACATTCCTACTTGTCCTGAGTGCTGTGCTAAACACCCTTACATATCTCATTGAGCACACACAGCATCCTTGCAGGCTAGCATGCTTATTTCTTAAGAGGGGAAACTGCAGCTTAGAAAGGTTATGTAGCCCCTCCCAAGACCCTCTCATTCTAGGCCTTCCTGATTCCAGAGCCTTTCCCCTTCAGAGAGCTCCTGATCTGGTTGAAGAGATGAATGTACATAGAATGAGGATGACAGAAATAATGCCAAGGGCCAAACCAGCTCTTGAGTCTGTATGAGTTGAAATGAAGGAGAGGTTGTTTTGGCAGCTGAATCTGCAAGGAAGGCTTTATAGAGAAAGGAGTCTTTAACTGATATTTGAAGTATGGATAGGATTCAGATAGGACCTTTGAAGTATGGAGATGTGAGAAAAGCATTCAGGAATGGGAGAACAGATGAATCAGAAGTGGACAGGTAGAGACACAGTCTATATCCAGAGGAGGCAGTGTGTAAGCAATACCGTGTCAGGGAGAAGAGCCTCTGCTAGGGACTGAAGCCTCTAGATGCACATCCCAGGTCTGGCAGCTACCATCTCTGTGACTTGGCAAATTTCTTAACATTTCTGAACCTGTTTCTTTATCTGAATGACAGAGATGGTAAATGCACCCACCTTATTGCAAAATTTAGACTTAAGTGGAAGAAAGTAGGGAAAACCACTAGGCCATTAAGGAATAACCTAAATCAAATCTCTTACGATGTGACAAATAGATTCAAGGGATTAGATATGATAAACAAAGTGCCTGAAGAACTGTGGACAGAGGTTCATGACTTTATATAGGACGTGGTGATCAAAACCACCCCAAGAAAAAGAAATGCAAAAAGGCAAAATGGCTGCCTGAGGAGGCCTTATAAATAGCTGATAAAAGAAGAGATGCAAAAGGCAAAGGAGAAAAGGAAAGATACACCCATCTTAATGTAGAGTTCCAAAGAATAGCAAGGAGAGATAAGAAAGCCTTCCTAAGTGAACAATGCAAAGAAATAAAGGAAAACAATAGAATAGGAAAGACTGGAGGTCTCTTCAAGAAATTTAGAGATACCAAGGGAACATTTCATGCAAAGATAGGCACAATAAAGGACAGAAATGGTATGGACCTAACAAAAGCAGAAGATATTAAGAAAAGGTGGCAAGAATACACAGAAGAAATATACAAAAAAGATCTTCATGACCCAGATAACCATGAAGGTGTAATCATTCACCTAGAGCCAGATATCCTGGAGTGTGAAGTCAAGTAGGCTTTAGGAAGCATCACTATGAACAAAGCTTGTGGAGGTGATGGAATTTCAGCTGAGCTATTTCAAATCCTAAAAGAAGTGAAGGTCACTCAGTTGTGTCTGACTCTTTGCATCTATACAGTCCATGGAATTCTCCAGGCCAGAATACTGGAGGGGGTAACCATGCCCTTCTCCAGGGGATCTTCCCAACCCAGGGATTGAACCCAGGTCTCCTGCATTGCAGGCAGATTCTTTGCCAGCTGAGCCACCAGGGAAGGCCATCCTAAAAGATGATGCTGTTAAAGTGCTGCAGTCAATATGCCAGCAAATATGAAAAACTCAGCAGTGGCCACAGGACTGGAAAAGGTCAGGTTTCATTCCAATCCCAAAGAAAGGCAGTGCCAAAGAATATTCAAACTCCTGCACAATTGCACTCATTTCACATGCTAGCAAAGTAATGCTCAAAATTCTCCAAGCCAGTCTTCAACAGTACTTCAACCAAGAATTTCCAGATGTTCAAGCTGAATTTAAATAGAAAAGGCAAAAGAACCAGAGATCAAATTGCCAACATCCGTTGGATCATAGAAAAAGCAAGAGAATTCCAGAAAAACATCTGCTTCATTGACTATACTAAAGCCTCTGACTGTGTGGATCACAACAAACTGTGGAAATTTTTTAAAGAGATGGGAATACCAGATTACCTTACTTGCCTCCTGAGAAGTCTGTATGCAAGTCAAGAAGCAACAGTTAGAACCAGACTTGGGAAAACAGACTGGTTCCAAACTGGGAAAGGAGTATGTCAAGGCTGTATATTGTCACCCTGTTTTAACTTATATGCCGAGTACATCATACAAAATGCCAGGCTGGATGAAGCACAAGCTAGAATCAAGATTGCTAGGAGACATGTCAATAACCTCAGATATGCAGATGACACCACCTTTATGGCAGAAAGCGAAGAAGAGTTAAAGAGCCTCTTGGTAAAAGTGAAAGAGGAGAGTGAAAAAGCTGGCTTAAAACTCAACATTCAGAAAACTAAGATCGTGGCATCCAGTCCCATCACTTCATTGCAAATAGATGGGTAAACAGTGGAAACAGTGGCAGACTTTATTTGGGGAGTCTCCAAAATCACTGCAGATGGTGACTGCAGCCATGAAATTAAAAGATGCTTGTTCCTTGGAAGAAAAGCTATAACCTACCTAGATAGTATACTAAAAAGCAGAGGCATTACTTTGCCAAGAAAGGTTCGTCTAGTCATAGCTATGATTTTTCTAGTAGTCATGTATGGATGTGAGAGTTGGACCATAAAGAAGGCTGAGCACCAAAGAATTGATGCTTTTGAACTGTGGTGTTGGAGAAGACTCTTGAGAGTCCTTGGACTGCAGGGAGTTCCCATCATTCCATCCCAAAGGAAATCAATCCTGAGTATTCATTAGAAGGATTGATGCTGAGACTGAAGCTCCAGTACTTTGGTCACCTGATGCGAAGAGCCAACTCCTTAGAAAAGACCCTGATGCTGGAAAAGATTGAAGGCAGGAGGAGAAGGGGATCACAGGACAGGATGATTGGATGGCATCACTGGCTCAATGGACATGAGTTTTAGCAAGCTGCAGGAGATGGTGAAGGACAGAAAAGCCTGGTGTGCTGCAGTCCTTGGGGTTGCAAAAGAGTGGGACATGACCAAGTGACTGAACAACAAGGGATATGTTATGCCAGTAAAAAGCTAAACACAGTGAGTGTCACTCCTTAGGAACTCAACAAATACTAGTTACTACTTTTATTAAAGAGGCCGCCTTTTCTTGGTTGGAGACTTTACTGGCTGTAGTAGCCTGTATTTCCGTTGGAAAGCAGTTCAGATTCTGGAGGAAGGCCTTGCACGGTGATTGGCTGGATTTTTGTCTTGTGGCCCCAGGAGGGTGTTGCAAGTGAAAGAGCAGATGAGAGGTGCTCATAGTCCATCCAGGAGACATGGAGTCAGGAGAGATTGGCTGGGCAGCCGGAGGGCCCAGGGATGCGCCGTTTAGCTTAGCCCAAGGCTCACCTCTCCCTTGCTGTATTCCACATGTTTTGTATGTGTCACCACCACCGCCCCACCCCCTACCCCAGGCAACAGGGTCACTTTTCTCCATATTTAATATTTAAAAGAGAGGGAGACAGAGAAAACAAAGTTGTTCAGATTGTTGAAATTAGAGTTCTGCAGAGTTGTGAAAACTCACTGTGAAAGCTTACTTCATCTGAGATGTGGAAAAATCATTTAAGGAGCTGTTGATTTTTTTATAAAAGGAAAATAACTCTTCTGATTCTGACTGAACCAATGGTTTAATATTCATTGACTACAGATGTTAGGCTATATACAAAGTGTTTAAAGAGAAACAATTCCATCACTCTAAAAACTGAAAATTTAACAAAGTAATTCAAATGGCACATAACACATTTTATGTAGCTGTTTATGACTTGAGATGTTTATATATATGCTATATTAAGGAGAGTTTCTAAACGTCAAAAGCTATCCCATAACACTTACAGACAGAATTGTATTGTTTTATTTAATAAGGGGATTTTCTAATTATAAGAGCCTTTGTAAAATGCAAAAAGATACAGAAAAAAAATAAGTTACTTTAGAGATACCACTTATCAGTTAATATTAATTATATATCTTTCAGTCTTTTTCCCTATGCATTTGTCTATGTCTTTTTACAAATGGAAATCATACTGCATATCATAACTTTACAATTGTCTTCTCTACTTAATACGCTTCCCTGGTGTCTCAGACAATAAAGAATCCGCCTGCAGTGTGGGAGACCTGGGTTCAACCCCTGGGTTGGAAAGATGCCCTGGAGGAGGGCATGGCAACCCACTCCAGTATTCTTGCCTGGAGAATCCCATGGACAGAGGAGCCTGGCGGGCTACAGTCCATGGGGTCACAGAGAGTGGGACATGACTAATTACAGTACTCAATATGTCAATATCTCATGAGAACTTTCCATGTCATGAAATAGTTATATTTTTTCATTTTTAGTGGCTGCATAATATCCTGTTGAGCTTTTTTCCAGTTTAGCAGAGATATAATTGACATATATCATTGTATCAACCGAGGTGTGCATGATTGGTTCATGTGATACCTGTGAAATGATTACTACAATAAGTTAGATTAACACCAGTTACTTCACATAGTTCCATTTTTTTTTATCATGGGTACATGTGATACCTGTGAAATGATTACTCCAGTAAGTTTGATTAACATCAGTCACTTCATGTAGTTACAATTTTTTTTTTCTTGTCATGAGAACTTTTAAGATCTACTCTCTTTAGCAACTTTCACATATATAGAGTACAGTGTTGTTAACTGTAATCACCATGCTGTATTTTACATTCCCAGCACTTATTTATCTTATAACTGGAAGTTTTTACCCTTTGACCACCTTCAACTATTTTTTCCTGCCTCTCACCCCTGGCAACCACCATCAATCTATTCTCTATAGCTATGAGTTCATTTTTTGGTTTTGTTTCTTTTTTTTTTAGGCTCAACATATAAGTGAAATAATACAGTATTTGTCTTTCTCTGTCTGACTTATTGCGCTCAGTATAATGCCATCAAGGATCACCCATCTTGTCACAAATGGCAGGGTTTTCTTTTTATGGCTGAGTAATGTGTGTGTGTGTGTGTGTGACAAAGAACATTGACATTCTTTATCCATTCATTTGTCAGTGAGTAGACACTTAGGTCGTTTCTGTGTCTTAGCTATTAGCAGTAATTTTGCAATGAACATGGGGGTACAGATATCTTTTCAAGATAATGATTTCATTTCCTTTGGATATATAACCAGAAGTGGATTTACTGGGCTGTAGGGTGGTTCTATTTTTAACTTTCAGAGAAACCTCTATACTGTTTTCCATAATGGCTATACACAAATTTACAATCCCCCCAGAAGTGCACGTGGGTTTCTTTTTCCCCACACCCTTGCCTATACTTGTTATCTCTTGTCTGTAGGTAATAGTCATTCACACAGGTAAAAGGGGGTAGGTCATTGTGGACTGGATCTGCATTTCCCTGCTGGTGAGTGATGTTGAGCTCCTTTTACATAGCTGTTGGCCATTTGGATGTCTACTTTGGAAAAAATATCTATTCAGTTCCTACACCCATTTTTAAATCAAATCATCTTTTTTTGCCATGGAGTTATACCAGTTCTTTATATATTTTGGATATTGATTCCAAGTTATATGGGTGTTTAACAGTTCTATTAAGGCAGGATATTTGGGTTGTTTCTAATTTTTTTGCTCATGTAAGTGGGTACACATTTATCATCTTTTTAAGTAACCGTGCTTAAGTTTCTGGTGTTTTATTGAAATGGAAGAATTATTTTATCAAACTCCAAGCATTTTAAAGCTCATGTTATATCATGTCCAGTTGCCTTCCAGAGAGACTGTACCTATTTGCTATCCCACCACCAGGTCAATTATTTTTAAGGGAACACTATTAACCCATTGTCTTTCTTCATTTATATCATTTTTAATTTACAGAGAGAGTCTTAAATAAGAGGCAATGTAGTTATAAGAAGCATGAAAAAGTCTTTGGGGAGAGAGGAAATTACTGAAATAAACCAGTATTGAGGGGAAGGGCTGCGGGGTAAAAGAAGGCTTTGTTATTTATGTTTCCAGGTGTGACAGCTTGGGGGCAGTGGGCAGAAAGTGGGGAGTGGGGAAAAGCTAACTGCCCAATTCTGGGACCTCTGAGGAACAGACAACCTCTGAGGTCCCCTTCCACCCCACATTTCAATATTGTCTCTAGATAGATAAGAAGACAGTAGGAATGAGTCGTTTACCAGTCTTTTCAAAGGACAGCAGACTTTAGAGCTCATTCATCTTAACTCTCTTTTCTGCCTGAAATTAACCTCCCAACCCTGTCCTCAACCTTCTGCTGATTCACCTTTTCAGAGCCAGGCAGACTCTACTGGATTCAACTCCTCTGAAGGGTCCCTGCCCTGAACTGTAGGATCAGTTCAGTTCAGTTGCTCACTCCTCTCTGACTCTTTGCGATCCCGTGGACTGCAGCGCACCAGGCCTCCCTGTCCATCACCAACACCTGGAGTTTACTCAAACTCATGAACTGTAGGATACATCTTACCAAATTCCTGTCGGAATGAGAGTTCACCCTCTGGGGCTTGGTGAAATGGAGGCTGGGATTGATTCTTTGCCAGCCGTTGAGCATTTCACAAGCTTAGCAAGAGCAGCTTCCCTGAGAGTCAGTGATAAGATTATAAGGAGAGCAAGTCTCAGAGTGCTGCATTTGTTTTCCATCAGACAGGGACAGCACTTAATGTGCAGAGATTAGTTGCCAGTGTTGGGGGGATGGGATGGGGAGAAAAGAACAAATGAGGCCAAAAAAAAGCAACCAAAGGAATAAAAAATCCTTTTAATAAGCTTATGTCATGAGTTCTTTAATGTAGCAATTCTGTCTCTTTCAGGTGGCCTTCATTTGAACCCCTTAAAGTTTCTGATTTTTGACTGGAACTGGAGAGATCAGAAGTTGAGAAGGATGATGGACATTCCCGAGGTACCGTGTAACCAGCAATCCAGCACTTCCCTTTAATCTTTTTTTTTTCAATTTGAACTTGAGTTCAAACACAGCAATAAAGTCTTTGACATGGGGAGCCAGCACATTCTGGCCTTTGAAATGATTTCTTTTAACTCTGAAGTAACTACAATTATAGAGGCCATCTCACCCCTTACACATAACTGTATCCTTCCCATGTGTTTCATAGGAATCAGCTTTGGTTCTTCATTGAATGCCCAGTGGCCTCTGCCCCACTGGGGTCCACATCTATACCTTTGGGAAACAGGAAGGTCTGGAGGACTTGGCGTATTTCCCTGTGCCTTGTTTTAGAGACATGATCATCTTTGCCTTTTTATCCTTAGAAGTGCATTTGGAGGTGAGGGGCACAAACTTGCCTCATTGCCTGCATCTCCACATACCCAAAAGCCTGCTTACATAATGAGCAATTTACGTTTTGAGGAGTGGGGAAATTTTTTTGATGTCTCAGTGAGTTAACAAACTGATTGAATACCTTTGTGGGACCAGCATTAGCTGATTATGTATTTATGAAAGTCATCCATCATCATCATAATGTGACAATTGACTTGACACCCACCATGTTATCATGGGGCTAATCTTTCAATCTAGCCTGATGCTTAGAAGTAGCGGTTGGAGAGAGGGTTGTGCAGTAACAAACATGGCTGCCAGTCCCAGCCAGAGATAAATCATGGCAGTGACTGTCAGAGAAGCTTGCAGTCCAAATATGCTGAATTATGTTGCTGTCTAAGACTATATCCTCAGAATGGCCAAACCTGATTTTAACTGATTAGTGAGTTAGGCTAAAAACCATTGTCTGAGTTTCACACACACACACACACACACACACACCCCTCCTGAACTGACTGGTTTCTTGAAACCTGTTTAACCATCTGGTGCACTGGGAAGACCCAGAGGGATGGGGTGGAGAGGGAGGTGGGAGGGGGGACCGGGATGGGGAATACATGTAAATCCATGGCTAATTTATTCAATGTATGACAGAAACCACTGCAATGTTGTAAATTAATTAGCCTCCAACTAATAAAAATAAATGGGAAAAAAAAAAAAAAAACCTCAACATTCAGAAAACTAAGACCCAGAGGGATCGGGCAGAGAGGGAGGTGGGAGGGGGGACCGGGATGGGAAATACATGTAAATCCATGGCTAATTCATTCAATGTATGACAGAAACCACTGCAATGATGTAAAGTAATTAGCCTCCAACTAATAAAAATAAATGGAGGAAAAAATAAATAAATAAATAAAATACTGTGTATAGTCTAGACATACTTTGGATATCTTGAAACACCGTTGTGTAAGATTTTTTTCTGTGAGAGTTTATTTTGAAGGGCTACAAACAAGAGGACATCTACATGAAACTGATGTCTTATGTAGTTCCTCTTCCTTTAATTATGTAAATATTTCAAACCTGAATAAAATGCAGGTTTTGCTCTTCCTGATTCTGGCCGTAACAGCTGCATAAATACCAAGGGATTCCAGATAGTTGAATTTATTCAACAAGTCCATCCTCTCTTGATCTTAAACTTTTTTTTTTTCTTCTTTTCCCTCCCTTAGATAAGAAAGGAGGTTTTTGAACTTCTGGAAATGGGAATCCTCAGTCTGTGCAAGACAGAATCTTTGAAGCTGGGCCTTTTCTAAATCTGGATCCTAATGAAAAGTCCTGTTTTCCTGGTGGGATTTATATGGCTCTGGCCCATTGTAAGCACTTGGTAAATACCAGCTATTGTTTATTAAGTTGACTGTATCACCAGATGGCTCACTAGGAATCTTAGGTGGGAATTCTTTTACAAAATGAATGTGTCCTTTGCCAAATCCCTTGTGTAATAAAGCATCACTGGCTTGTGTGTGATTTTTCTTAAGGAGACTGAGTTTTTCTTTCACCAGCTGGCCTCTGATGTGACTATACAAGAGACGGTATTACCAAATCACAAGTCCATATGCCCAATGCACAGTGAGGCCAAACAATACTAAAACAGGGGAGTTTGAACAGGTACACGTTTATTACAGGTTCATGCAAGGAGATGGGTAGCTTATCCCTTAAGAACCCCAAAATTACTGAAAGCTTCCAGCAAAGCCCTTTTCTAGGAAAGGTGAAGGATGAGTGTGGTTAGTTGTTGCAGACTTCTTGGTGTCAGATCCTTTGTTCTTGAGGTCAGGTCATGATCAGGTCACGATGTTCCTATAAATCTCTACCAAACAAATGTTATCCTTTGTTCTGACAAGAAAGGGCAAGGTCCCAAGGAATAGCTCTTATCCTTCAAGGTCTTGGTCCTGGCTAAGAGGAGGCAGATCTTAGTTGGCAGCTTCCTCAGAGCCAGGTTCCCACACCCTGCCCAGCCGTCATTGCTGGGGAGCCAGACATCCCACCCAGCTGGCCCTCAGGCTCCTCAGGCCATCCAAACACGGGGTGGCGGGCGTGGCAGGTGGGACCAGGTTCCTCAGACTGCGGCCCCGGCAGAAGGCCACTGCTATCAGGCAGCAGAGACGGGGTGGGGGAGAGCTTCACCACAGCCTCAAGACCAGGGCTCTGGAGTCCTGCTGGACACAGCCCCCAGTCTGTCCCGTGGCCCAGGGCTGGCTGAACTGGAGGGCCTCCCGGAGAAGGCCTGAACTCGCCTCTCACCTCACTCTACCTGGCGACCACACCTCCGCTGACTGTTGGCTAATCACTTTCCTGATGGTCACCCACTGACGGTTGCCTGTGGGCAGGGCCCCACTGAGGCACTGACCAATGGGTGAGCAGGACCTGTTGCCTGGTAACAGGGTGCGGAGTCGTGATGCACAGCATGGCTACCTGCTAAGGGCTGCGCTTTCTTACAAAGGGAAAGAGCATCTGGGCAGCCTCAGGCAAGCCCCTTCCCTCTCTGAGCCTCTGTTTCATCAGCTATGAAATGGGAATCCCACCTTGCAGGATTGCTGAGTATCTCATGAGACGGCACCTGTGGGACAGATTTGTCAACTGCGATGCCTCGTCCCAGTGTGGAGGGTGTAGTGGTGGGGAGAGCTTCAAGTACATGCGGCAATTTATAAACTAATAAAAGACAACAGTATAACTACAACTACCTTATTCATCTGTTTAGCTCTTTGTTTTGAGATAATTTCATAGTTACAGAAAAGTAGCAAAAATAGTATAGAGAATTCCCATATTCCCTTCCCCCAGCATCCCCCCATGTTAACATCTTGTATAATTACGCAGTACAGTTATCAAAACTAAGAAATCAACATGGGTATAATACAACTAACTAAACTACAGACTTCATTTGGATTTTTACCAGTTTTCCCACTGATGTCCTTTTTCTATTCCAAGATCCAGTCAAGGATCCCACATTGCATATAGTTGTCATTCCTTAGAAAATATATTTAGAAAAATAGGTATAATCTGTCACATTCAATCATTTAATCATTAAAATAATTCTGGAAGAAATGTCTTATTTGTATTTTCTAGATGATGAAACTGAATCTCAGAAAGGACACATTAGTTTAAGTAGCAGAACCAGAAGGCAAACCCAGATCTCCCATACTCACTTAAGGACACCATGGTTATCTGTCTGGATAGTCAGGCATATACAACAAAGGAGAAAATACAGCAAACAGACGCCATTAGTGCATTCCACATTCAAATTTGTGAAATTTTAAACGAGCCTAGCAGCATAACAAATCACACTCCAGCAAATTACCTGCTTCCTCCCACCAGCCGCCTGCTTCTCCTGCACCTCTGTGGGCTAGAAGCCACACACAGGAATCCCAAGGCTAAGGGGCAAGTTCCGTTCTGCGGGACCCCGGATCAAACTCCACAAGTTGGAGGGAAAAGAAAGCAAGCCCCCACAGAATGAAAATTCACCCAGGCTATACACAGCTCAGTGTGACCCCTGCGGGGCTGACCCTCCCCCAAGCAAGAGCGAGTTCCGCCTTCCAACTGAAGCATCGCCTCCTCTGCCTGATGACCTTCAAACTGACATGCCGCCACTTCCTGGTTCTCCGGCAGCTTTTGGCCTTCAAACTCAGACTTGAGGAACATCAGCTCTCCAGATTGTGGACTTGTCAACCTCCTCCAGGGTCCTGTGAGCCAATTCTTTGTGATAGATCTATTCTGTTTCTCTGGCAATCCTAATGTACTCCCGTGAAGCACCTTTGGGATTTTGGTTAGGTTGGTTTTGTTGCTTTATAAAAAGCATAACAAAAACTGTTCTTGATCTGTTACCGTAATGACCCCTCAGGTAGACATTACCTGTTTTCTGTAATCTCACCCAATGTTGAAACAAGTACCTAGATAGCAAACACATCTGATATTTTGTAGGCCAACTCTGCACACTTAATCTAATCTCACAGGCTGTTACTGAACTAAGGTCCTTGACCACATTTACTTATTAAAACAAATAGTAGGTGTGAACTAGAAGTGTTCACTACTGTCTCCTCACACAAATAAGATACCAACAGCCGTACTTATCACTACCCTCAAGCCAGATTCAAATGGCTTGCTGAAAAGTTCCAATTGGTGTTCTGCTTTTTTCCAGTCTTGCAAGGGGAAACTTTGACTCTGAATTGGAAACATCCCACTGTAAGTAGTTGCATTTGTTCTGTATTCTTTTAAACTAGGTAGATTTGCCAAAGTCATTTTCTTCTTTAATATAAAAAGAGTCCAGCATGGCTTCTCTGCCTAATGTTAATAAAAAAGGTTAGAAACTCGCATGCTGCCTAATTTTTCGAAAATCCTAATTCTACATTTTAAATGCATCTTGAAGAAGTAATTATTAATAGCCTAATGAAAATAATGTTAGTAGACTTCTAATATGTGAAAAAGCAAAACCAAACCAAACAATGATACCATATTACAATATTGAACACTTAAAGGATTCCTCTTGCTTTCCCTTATCTCATTTGGGCTCCATCAAAGCAGGTGCTTGGAGAAAGGTTAGGAGGAGATGTTTTTCATTGACACCTTCTTTCCAGAGTCCTTCTTATGTATGAGAGAGTTGGAAACTACTGAGATTAGACATCTGTGTTCTGCAATTCCTGTTTCTTTCTCCCTCCCTCATTATCACAAATAGCAAAGTTAGCTATAACCTGAGAGCATTTTCCCAACTTAGTTTATATTCGTGTTAATGGACAGTCACATTTGTTGAAAGTTGACTTCACTCACTTCTGTTTTTTGTATTAATCTCCAAGGATTTGGGCAAGCTCTTAAAGATAAATCCATTTTCCCCTTTCAGGAAAGGCTTGCCTTGAATTAGTCACCACATCCCAGAAATAGCCTGCTGTAACTGCTTCCCAGTGTCACCAGATGTGGGTTTATACTGACCTGCTGGGGACTATTCCTCCTAGGCAGGGTACTTAGCACAAGGTTTTTGAACCTAAGAAAAATGTACGAAGCCATGGCTGATTGAAGGGAGCTGCTCTCTTACTGAACAGAGGTCTGATTAAGGCATAATTCTAGGAAGCAGAGGTACTTTGCCACCACAAAGGAAGAGTCACATAATTCTTAACATTAAGTGGTGTTACTTTGAGCAGTAATGTCTGAGAAGTATATGTGGGTCACCTGCAGGACCAGAATGAAGAGGAAATCCCAGGACTGCAAGTCCAGATTGCCAGACAACTCTGCGGTGAAGCAGCAGCAGTTGCCTGCCTTCCGGCTCCAGCTCTCAGCCAACGAGATCCTCTCTGGCTTTTTTGCCACAGGGGTCTTCTGCCTTGGCATGGGCGTCATCCTTCTGTTGTCTGCAAAGAGCATCAGAGAAATAGAGGTCTGTCCCATCTGACACTTTAATGCATTCTAAGGGTTTTAGCTCTGGGACTATAAGGAGTGGTCAGTGTGAGAACTCAGCCCCTCCGTAGGGAACTAGACAAGACTGGAGCGCCCCTTTTGCAGATGGTGACAGAGCCGCTGTGTGCTGTATTCATCCCTCCTCTCTCTTGAGGACGCGCACTCTCAACCTGGTCAGTTCAGCCACACTTGTTTACAGGGGCCTGGCAAAGTCAGGAGCTTTTCATGCTGGCGGAGTACCCGAGCAAGCGACTAGTGGAGGTGGGAGGAGAGGCAAGACCAGAGGACTGCCAGACACCTGTGAATCATGGTGATAAAAAGTGTGAAGAGCCGAAGACATAGGCCTTCAAATTTGTGCCACTTTCAAGCGTTTGCCTCTCCCTTTGCAAATAGACTCCCTCAAATCATTGTCTTAATCCAGGAAAGGAAAGATCGCAAATCTTTCTGGCCTCTAAAGGATTCTTACTAAAATAAATCAGGTTCTACTCAGAGTGAGAAAAGCTGAAGCTAAGCTGTGACCCCCTCAGTCATAAGCCTTTTGCCAATTTGACTAACAAGCCATTGGAGAATGAGAAGCCCAGAAGCTGGTCTGGGGAAGGGAGCTCAGATCTGGCCTGATTCCATGCCCACGTTTGGTCTCATAAATTAAGTAAATGCTTCACGCCAATCAGCTCTGAGCAGATTACCAAGTCCATATGACCTCTACTCTGAAGGCTGCCATGGAAAGCTCATCTGGTCCCTCTCCCCATAGGCTAAGTGGCAAAATTTCCATGGAGTCCAAGTCTGGCAACACTGATTTAACATCCATGAGTGTATGCACGTGCTCAGAGTTCTTTTGGGTGTGCAGATGAGTAAACTCTTAAGTAAGAGTCAATTCCTGCCTTCAGTGAGCACATGATGATAGAGTAAGCAAGCAGTGGGTGCCAGGAAGAGAGTGCCCAGCTGCGGCTGGCGTGTTTGCTGCACCCACAACCCCTTCCTTGCACGTTGCCAGTGCATAACAGGCACTCACTTATCAAAAGAACGGGTTTGAGCAAGCAGTGGGACTTCAGAGAAGGAAAATACCATTTCAGGTCCCAGTCCTCCTACCCACACAGCCTGCTCTGTTGCCTTTCCCCTGAAATGTCCTACTCTCCCCTCCCCCTCCTGGCAGGCTGTCTTCCCAGTGCCCCTAATTCCTCTTGAGTCCTCCAGTGCGATCATATAAACCACCCGGCCCTCCCATGTGGCAGAGGCCAAAACTGCACGAGGAAAGTAAGCTGGCCTTGTTGAAGGCGGCAGCAAAGTAATTGGCTTGCAGGGTTGATGTTCATTCCCACAAAGAGCGCATCCTGTTTCCTTTTCCACTTTATTCTTCGCCAACCCCTTTCTTTCTCGTCCTTCCCCTCCTCTTCCCACGTCCTTCCCGCTTCCTCCCTTCTGAGCACCCATCCCCGCTTCCTCCCTTCTGAGCACCCATCCCCACCCGCGATGAAGCGCAGCCTCCATTACGAGGCAGCCGTTGCTGAATGCTGTCGCCTTACGCGTGAGAGGAGAACCTCACCCCGTGGCTGGCCGAGGCCACTCTGCAGACAAGTTTCAACAGAGTGGTCTTAGCATGATTTTAAGAGGATTTTTCAATCAACTGTTCTTTTCAGCCAGTTCAGCTAGGACTGTTTCTAAGCGTTTTGTTTTTATACAGAAAAACCAGGAGCCGCCCATGGAGTGTGGTCCTCTATTGCACATGAAAGTGTTTCATTATGATGGGTGATGAGATGAAGCGTGTATCTCAGGCCAGTGTTGTCAACACACAACTCAGTAGAAGAGTCCTGAGCTGGTTTTTCTCTTCTCATGAGTGAGCCCTGAGGCACAGCAAGAAAGGGCCCTTTTTGCAATTCACTTTAAGCGAGAATGATAATTCCTGCCTCTCCAAAATTCTATGAGGAGCAGACTATGATCTTTGCTGTCATTTTAGAGCTACACGCTTACGGAAGCACTCACGCAGCAAAGCAGATTAAACACGTTGATTTTTGATATGTTTTCCTCATAAGATTTTTGGAGCCAGAAAGCACATTGGATGTCATCCACTCAAAAATTTATTCATCAACAAAGACACTGTTTCGGTTTTGGCATTATAGAACTCTCACAAGAATCTGTGAAGTACAATGTACACTGCTGCAGTGAGCTCACAAATGAATTCATTGCTAGCCAAAATGATGCTGATGAACAAAATGTGGGCCCTGGAGGTTAAGTGTTTAACTCAAGATCAGAGACTGGATGAACACAGTTCAGTGCGCTAGCTCTCAATTAGATACAGCCCTGTTCTTTATTGCTTTTAAAAAATTAGAATGCAGTCTCACAAACAGAAAAGGTGTCAGTATTTTTAAAAATAATCGTTCAAGTTTTTCTGCATACTTAAAGAATGACTGAAGTAAATATAAACAACTGAGTACAACTAACTGCCTTTTGGCTAATCTTTAATTTAGTATTCACACTTTACCCATTTGACTTCCAAACACCCAATGGCTTTTCAAGCATTCAAAATTCCTTCTTTCCTGTTAGTCTTCTCTCCCCAAGAATCTAAAATCTGATTGGTAAGTTACTGGGAAGAAAGCCAGCCCCTGTTCCTTTCCTATCCCCAGACTCTTCTAATTACTCCTCAGCACCCACACCACCCCCGGGTGCCCGAGACGAGTGTTCCCCGGAGCAGAGAGAAGTGCGTGGCCCCACGGCCTCTCTCTGAGCCTCCTTTCCCAACTCTCCTTGCAACTCCATCTTCACGTCACTGAGTCGAGCCAGAGCTCCCAGGATCTGCCCATGTGGGACACATTACCCTTTTTTTTTTTTTTTTAAGAGTCCACTTATTCCATTTTGCACAGAATTTAACTTTCACAGAACATAACGGCATTTTTGAAACAATTGCTTCACATGCATCAGTAACTCTACATTTCTGAAACACTTCTGTTTCTATGTTCGGTCATTTTTTAATAACTTCCTCAAGACATCATGCAGAAGAATTCACTAGTATAAGTATTTTCCATAGGATAACATGGAAAACCAGTGGAGTGACTTCCCCAGAAAGCTGATTTGACCTGGGCCATGGGCCCAGTTCTCCTGAGTCACTGGCTAATACTTTCCTAATGGTGACTTCATCACAACAGGCTAGACATGCAGTAGGAAGCCTGAGCTCCAGTACATGGCAGAATACTGCCGGGTGCCAAAATGAAAGGAGGCCCCCTCCTCCGCATCCAGGGAGCTGGTTCGTGTCCCAGACAGCATGCCCTTGACCCGGTGAGCCTGGACACTTGAGTGGACTCAGGATTTTAAGATATGTACTCACATCCCTTTTTAATTAATAACTATCTTCTTCCCTGTCTGACAGATTAATTATACAGAAAAATGTGCAAGTTGTGCAAAACTGCGAGAAGATGCCACTAATTTTGACAAAGAATGCAACTGCTCTATTTCCTTTTACCTTCCACAGAAAATGGAGGTGAGATTCAGGAGCCTTCATTTGGCTCTATGCTGCTCTGTTCCTAATTAACACATGGCAGTGAGCTTGTGATCTCCACCAAATGCTTTCCAAAACTGAAAATACAAAAAAGTCAAGCAGGGCGGGAAGGGCGGCGGGTCTTATAAAGTAGTGAGTTTGTGTGCAGCTCTCTCCCTTACCCATGGAATCTTCATTCTTCTCCTTTATGTCTAAATTTCCAGAATCTTTACTTACTCAAGTTTGTAACATAATTCTTAACATCAGTCAAACAGATTGTAGTCAAACAGATTGTATGGCAAATGTCAGCACAGGAGGAGACCACAGAAATCTCTGAATCTGACCGTTCGTTTTATAGTGAGAAAATTAATGGGCTGAAAGGTTAAGTGACTTGGCCAAGGTCACACACTGAGTTAGTGTCAAGGGTCACACACCTGGTGGGACTCTCCTTGGGCCCCTCTCCAAGTCATTCTTTGCATGCAGTTGCCTAATCCCTAAGGCAAGTCTTGGCCTGGCTGTCAGACACTGTGAGAAATGCCGAAGAAATATTAAGAGCCGTCCCTACTCTTGCGCTGATTAAAGTCTTGTGTTAGTCCAGGTCCTCCTGAGAACCAGATGCCAAGACAGGATTAGACATGCAAGAGATGTACTGAGGAAAATACGGGGCAGGCTGGGAGAGCTGTCGAACCACAACACAGCTCCCACCCCTCGGGGAAGGAGCAGGATGGGGAGAAGGAAGGATGGAGGGACAGAGGAAGAGGAGGGTAGAGAGACGGGGAGAATAGGAAGGAGGAGGGAAGGAAGGTCTTAGATGCAGTGTATGCTTATGAAAGTTTCAGCAAGGCCAGCGGAGAGTCCTTGCCTCAGGATCGCTATTGCTGAGCCTCTGGCTGGGACCAGCCATGGGCAGCATGACCTCGGTGCAAACACAGGACAACCTCGGAGCACAGCCACCAGGGCGGTCCCTTGATTCCACGCCCTGCAGTTAGGAGATCAAGAGGCTCCTTTTCAGGGCCTCCAGTCTTTCCAGGTGGCAGATATGATCAAATGAAAATGTATTTCCTTCAACTTTTCAAAGATCCTGTCCCCTGGACCCCACACCTCTCCCCCGGCAGCGCCCTCCTCCCCAAACTGCCTCATCCCCTCTCCTTCCCCTGCATAGAGACTCTGTGTGGGGGTCTTCCCTTGTGGGCAGGACTTCTCTTGAGCTGATCACTGACCATCCCAGCCTCAAGGCCCTGCTTCCTTCCCAAACCAGACTCAGCATCATCTCCTGAAAAAAATCCTCCTTACTTCTGGGAAAGATCTCATCACCAAGACTCAAAATTTCCTTCCTTAACTCCACCCTGCCCGCTCCTTTCTCATTTCATCACCTCTGATGTGTAAGCATCGGTCTATATTCTGTGTCTCTCCCAACCACTTTCTCCCTCCAGTTTCTTGGCATCACCCTAGTTCAGGCCCTCCTGGTCTTGTGTCACGGCATCCTTAACTACACATCTAGCCTTTGGCTTCACCTATTTGTCTCCCATTGTTATTTGCAGAATTGGTAGACCATGCCCTGCACCCCCTCAAAATGTGCACTCTTTCAGATTGCTTTTCGACACCTGAGGACCAACTACCTTTTCATCTTTATCTCTGCAAGAGACCTTGTACTCCTGCCAAACTGACCAGTTTGCGTTTCCTGGATATAACTCTCTATGTTCTTGCTGTTCTTTTGCCTGGAAAGTCTCCCCTCTCACTTGCACTTGTAAGATCTCACTAGTTTTGAGTCTCTAATATCACCCCCAATATTCTCTGAGCCTCCTTTTCACTCATGCCTCCAGCAAGAATTTGCCCACATTTGTATTCTGGGAGCGCTGTTTCCTCTCCTCTGATGGGCTTAGCAATCAGCCGTATAATATCCTGTACTCCCTCTATTCACAGGAACCTCCCTGAGGATAGGGACCATGCTTGACATGCCACATCACAACTACACACCCACTCATCTCTGTACCACATGCTCAGCCTTCCCAGCTGTGATCACAGGTGAACCACCCATGCTCCCATCTGAAGGCTCACCTCTCCACTTGTGTGGTGGATGCCAGTCTTGCTTGCCTGTATAAGGATTTAACTCAGCAGTTCTCACTTCTCAATACATCACCTTTCCTGTCTACTGGATGATTCCCACCAGCTCTCAGACACATTGTTTCACCTATCTTTAAAAATATATATATATTTACTTTGTTTATTTGGCTGTGCAGGATCTTGGCTGCAGCATGTGAACTCTTAGCTGTGGCGTGTGGGATCTAGTTCCCTAGCCAGGGATCAAGCCCAGGCCCCCTGAATTGGGAGCACAGGGTCTTAGCCACCGGACCACCAGGGAAGTCCCTCACCTATCTTTTAAGAAACAAAGCACTCTTCTACTCTCCCAAATTTCCCAGCCTGCTGGCTGCCCATTTCTTCCCTCAGATGAGCAGGAACAGTCGCCAGAGGAGGCGTCTGTGGTGGCTACTTCTAATTCCTCTCATTCTGTCACTCAGAGAAACTGCAGAGTTACCCGTGACTTCCTCCTGGAGGCACCCAGGGCCCAGTCCTCAGGGCCTTGTCACACCCACTGCACCCAGGGCCCGGTCCTCAGGGCCTTGTCACACCCACTGCACCCAGGGCCCAGTCCTCAGGGCCTTGTCACACCCACTGCACACGCCCTCTTGGCGCATCTTCTCTCAGAGATGGTTTTCCTCCTTGCTCCCGGACCGCCCTTCTTTGGTTCCTTTGCTGTTCCTCCTGTTTCCCCCAGACCCTGTCTGTGGAGAGCTTCAGGGCTGCAGCCTTGGTCTTCATCTTCTCTTCTCTGTCTGCACTCCCTCGGAAACATCACCTACCTCCTAGATTTAAACACTCCATCACCAGCGCTCTCTTTTCTCTCCCCATCCCAAACATCTCTTCCAATATCCACACTTGTATTTCCACCTGCCTTCCTGATGTCAGCATTCGGGTGTCTCATAGCTATCTGAAGCTTAATGTTTCTAAAAATGAATGACTATCCACTTTTCCCCTTACCTATTCCATGCCCTCCCCCCACCCAAAAAATATACCATTCCAACCTACAGACTTCTCAGTCTCAGCTGGCAACAACTCTGTCCTTCTGATGCTCAGGCTAAAAGCCCAGGGTCATTCTTGACTACTTTCGTTCTCTCACAGCTCACATCCAATCCATCCTCTTGGCTCTATCTTTGGCATATATCCAGAGTCTGCTCACCTCTACCCACCTCTCAGCTCCACACTCACCTCTCACCTGGATTTCTGCAATAGCTTCCTACCAGATCTCCCTGTTATACCCAAATCTTGAATAACAGCCAGACTGAACTTTTTAAACCGTTGAGTCCTATCATATTAGTCCTTTGCTCAAAAATCCCTGCAGTGGTTTCTCTTTCCAATCCATGAAAAACCGCAAGTCCTTCCAAGGCCTTACATGATCTGACTACTTATTTCCTCTCTGACCGCCTCTCTCCATTCTCTTCCTACCCACTCTCTGACCACAGTGGCTCTTTGTTCCTCGGACAAGTCAGGCGTTCTCTTCGTCCCCATGCCTGGCATCCCCTCGGCGCGCCCGCCCCTGCTGCCTTCCGGTCCTGCTTGGCTCAGGTATCAGCTAACCATCCTATTCCATGCTGCTGCCTGTCTACTCACCCTGCCCCTGCACTCCTGATTCCCATTACCTTGCTGTAATTTCCATTTTTTCCACAATGCTATCACCGTCAAACTCACTATATAAATGAACAGATTATTATATGTATAGTTTATTGTCTGTCTCTCACCTATAACTGGTCTTCCCAGGTGGTGCTAGAGGTAAAGAACCCACCTGCCAATGCAGGAGACATTGGGTTCAACTCCTGGGTCAGGAAGATCCCCTGGAGGAGGACATGGCAACCTACTCCAGTATTCTTGCCTGGAGAATCTCATAAACTGAGGAGCCTGGTGGGCTATGGTGCATAGGGTTGCAAAGAGTCGGACACAACTGAGCAACTTAGCATGCGCGCTCACCTATAACTGTGTCTGGCAACCTGTAGTTTCTCAGTTAATGGTTATGGGGTGAACATAAGAACCTTTGCTTCCTCCACAGTGCATAGCACATTATACACGGTAGACGCTGACATTTTAACAAATGGAAAAAAGATAAAGTGCTTAATGTTATGGCTTTATGCTCTAGGAAGCTTTGGTTCTATGGGTCCCTTCCCCCCTTGATCCCAGATGAAAGCATGTTGGCATCAGTAATAGTATGAATACAACTGTATCTTTAATCAATTTTTGAGTAATTCAGATGGAAATTATAGGGAAGTTACTGAATCACTGGCCACATGTACCATGACCTTTATTTTCAGCCTGCCTTGGGTCCCAGCTCCCATCTTTCATACTCATCCTCTTTAAGGTCCTTAGGGTGAGGCCAAATTTGCATAGCATAAGAGAATCAGTACTTGGGTTGTAAGTGATGTGTATATAAAGTCCACGGGGAAGTTTTACATCTGTGTTCTTTTGTTAGAGGTCAAAATTCTAGCTGTCTACAATTGTGTCCTTTCTTGCCTTCCTCAACTCACCGTGCTACCACCGCCCAAAAGTAAAGTTAGTGCTGCTTTTTTTTTTTCATCCTTAAAACATTAGACATTTATTCTCTCATAATGCTAGAAATCAGAAGTCTGAAATCAAGGTGTCAGCAGGATTGGTTTCTTCTTAGGGGCTCGGTGTGCTTTTTTGAAGAAAAAAAATCCAAAAGATAAAGCGTTAAAAGGCTTCAACTTCCCATCTGTCTGTGTCCTTTGAAATCCTAAAGGCAAATAAGTGTTACCAGCTGCTGACCATTTCCTTCAGACAGAGTCTTTCTCATAAAAATCTAACCTAACTGTTCAGGGCATCCACGGGGCCTTCCCCTCACGAGTTCACACACATTGCACATGCTAGATGACAATCCATGCAAGGCTCTCGGCCTTGAACTAGGAATCCGGCACTAAAGGAAAGAAATGCCATACAGCGCATTTGCCTCCAGGACTAATCAAAAAGATGACAATCAAGGAGGCCTTGTAAAATCTTGGACAAAGGATCACTGAAAAAAGTTTATTAAAAACACTCCTGTCTCTAAACTGTGATGTTCATTGTTGATTTTGTCATGTTTATATGAACATATAACTTTGGGTAAGTAGAATTCTCTTCTTGGCTCCCAAGAAAATGTATGGCAAGTTCCATTCCATGGACTTCCTGTTTTCTGTAGTTATGGGTCATCAGTAGAGGTTACGTCTCTGTGTGAGGAAACGTAATCCATCATTCCCACTACGCCTGGCTTGTTTGCCTTCCATGTTCTCCGTTTATGATGTTCAAACTGCCTGTTTGTCAGGACCCAGCATCTCCCCTTCTCAGTGTCCCAGAGACTTTTCTCTTACGAGGGACTAAGCTCTTCAGGCTTTGTGGTTTTCTGTCACTAGCCACACTTACTATGACCTTGCTTTTCAGCCTGCCCTGGGTCCCAGATCCCATCTCTCATACTCATCCTCTTAAAGGTCCTTAGGGCAAGGGCAAATTTGCGTAGCATAAGAGAATCAGTTGGCTCAGGGAATTGTAAGGGAATACTTTTGTATTTCTAGCACTGAATATAGCACCTAACATTTAGGAGTCACTTAATAAAAACTTAGACCTTCATAGTTCTAGATGCACGCCTTTATTATTTTGGAGATAGGTGGTATATTATTTGGGGCTTTCCTGGTGGCTCAGATGGTGAAGACTCTGCCTGCAAAGCAAGAGAACCGGGTTTGGCTTCTGGGTCAAGAAGATCCCCTGAAGAAGGGAATGGCTACCCACTCCAGTATTCTTGCCTGGAGAATTCCATGGACAGAGGAGCCTGGAGGGCTATAGTATATTAAGTAGCTACACTGGACATTTACATTTGCATCATATGTGCTGTTAGTAAAATCGGTATCAAGCCCTCCTAGAGAAGCCTTAGGGCCCTGGTATGTCACCACAAAGGTAGAAGCGTGATGGTAGCTTGTAAGTGGGCAGTCTTGTGGCAGCATCCATGAAAAGGCATATCTCTCATGGCACTAAGACTACTTATTGCTAAGATGAAAATCATCTTCCTTCTAGATTAGTGAACTATTCCATCTTTTTGTCCATAACAAATGGATCACCATTTCTTGGTCAAGTGTTACATGCCATGGGTCTGTGTTAGATCCTAAGATGAAAGGACAACCCTGGAGCCGAGTTTATGTCTCTGGACAGTGGGCACAGCGCTGGAGCCGGGTTTATGGACTGTGGGCACAGCGCTGGAGCCGGGTTTATGGACTGTGGGCACAGCGCTGGAGCCGGGTTTATGGACTGTGGGCACAGCGCTGGAGCCGGGTTTATGGACTGTGGGCACAGCGCTGGAGCTGGGTTTATGGACTGTGGGCACAGCGCTGGAGCTGGGTTTTGTCTCTGGACAGCAGGCACATGCACCTAAATATGCTTAGTGGCTCCAATTTTAAATTATGTTTCATGGATTTGCTTTGAAACTATGTGAACTTGATGCTTACCACAACCCCTAGGCAAAGCATCTTTCTTAGTGTTTTGGGAAAATATTTGAAGAATCAAATTTTATGTATTGAGAATACAAAGCCTAGTTATAAATGTTTCTTTCAAGGCAGGAATGTAGTAACCCTTACATAAACATTAAAAATAAGTTATTTACTCATTTTAATAATTAAGTATATACTATATACTAGGATTTTCCAACACTGATTTTTAAAAACAATTTCTTGGGTTTCTATTTGAAATAAGGAAGCTTTCAGTTCCCAATTAATATTTTTGGTACTACTTATATTTAACAAATCCCATCCATGTTTATTAATATTTCCATTTATTTTTCTTTCTTTTTACATCTTGATGTTCTCCTCCACAGGGTAATGTTTATCTGTACTATAAATTGTATGGCTTCTATCAGAACCTCTATCGGTATATTCTGTCCAGAAGTAATATCCAGCTGTTGGGTACGGATGTAAAGGTAGGGCTTTATTAAATTTGGTATAATACTCTGTTTTTTTTTTTAAACCAGATAGATCTTTCAGTCTAAAAGAGCGTATGGAAAATAAACTCAAAAGTTAAGGTTTTACAAGACAGAAATGCTCATTTCATTCTTTTGTGAACTGAAGGGGCTGAGTATTCAGGATAACTGCTGTTGAGAATGAGCCCTTTCCCTCCTCAGAACAGGAATGTGAGTCTTCTCCAATGAGATGGCTATCCTTTCATGCGTCGCCCATTTTTTAGTTTAACAACATCTTATATTAAAGCCAGATACATACTGGACTGTCCAAGTCTTGGTGATAATGAATGTGTCAGAAGGGCAAATCTGCAAGTACCTTTTCAACCACAATTCAGGATTTGTTTCTGTTAATAAGTTGATGGCATATTGGAGCTGCTTCAAACAGCAGAGTGCTTGCTTCTTTGAATGACTGACATATCAAATAGATTTCAGTATTATTTTTGCACACTTGATTTCTGTAGTTTGCTTTAAACTTCCCCATTTTAGTAGATGGAGGCACCAACCATTTTGACAGTAACCTTGAGTGGTTCATCTCTGTCTGGTTCATCTCTGTCTGGTTCACTCTGTATTCACCACTGTCTTTTTTTATAACTGGGGCCCTCAGGCAGCCTAGTTTAAGGAAACTGGGCTCTACTTGATTGAATAAAAGCCTTTGGTTTACTGAATATCCTTTCAGACCTAAGATTACAAAACTTTACTCTAGGTAGATGATATTCAACATACTGGCAAGAAAAGCTAAAGGAAACCTTTTCTATACTGACATTATATAAAAGGGATAACCAAATGGTTTTTAGCAGCCATTCTTTTTAAAATATATTCTGGTAGTTAGGTAGATGGATTTCCCTGTGGTCATCTAGCTGTAGACCCACAATTTGTATAGTTTTTAGAATATATTATATTCCAATAAGAAAAACTTCTTAAAATGTATTCCAATGTAGGCTTAGCGTGATATTTAGCACAGCCAGAAAGTAAAATTTCTTCCTGCAGACATATTCAGTATGCTATGTACTGTTAATGAGGAAAGAAACTACACACATGTGTATACACACATAAATATCTTCAAAACACAAACATTTTCTAGTCTGGGTGAGCCAGCAGCCTGGGAACAACAGGTCCACAGCCTCAGTCTATGCCAATGGATCAGTGTGGGTTGGCTTACACTGCCAGTGTTTTCACTTCTAGCACTTTAAGAGTTTACCAAAATCACGTATTCCTGCGTCATTCTTCCTCCAGGATGTTAGAAACTGTGCTCCGTTCAAAACCTCTGACAAAGGGCTCCCCATCGCTCCGTGCGGTGCAATTGCCAACAGCCTGTTCAATGGTAGGTGACTTTTCCTGTCTCCAGCATGTTTCCTTTCGTGAGTGTGTAAAACCTAATGTCCAGAAGATTACTCCTGCAGCTGAGTGGCAGGTTTTTGTTTTTTTTTAATGTTTGTATACATTATCCACTGATATATGATACTTCATTGGCAAGTAAGTTCTTTACCGGAGATTTGAAGTAGTCAGGAAACATTATTTAAATGGAGCCTAAGAGTATCTCTCAGTAATCGGGGCCTTAGAAAGAAAAGGAATCGTCTTCTGATTCCAGCATCTAGGGCATGCAGGCATGCGGAGAGTCTGCTCAAACCCCGCCTTTTCAGCTGTGTCTGGCTGTGCACTTCCAAGTGTGGCAAAACGCTTGCCTCAATCTCTTAACACTGTCTTTAATTTCCCCACAGACACCTTCATTCTTCTGTACAACCCTGATTCATCTACACAGATCGAAGTTCCAATGATGAGGACTGCGACTGCATGGTGGACAGACAAGTACGTCAAGTTTCAGAACCCAACTTACCAAAATCTTTCTCATGCATTTGAAGGTAAGATCCGTACGATAGCTCAGTACTCCCCTCTCGCTATGGAAACTTTGGTTTTGGTGTGTGGGGGGATGTTTATGATTCCTCCTTCTTTACTTCTTTTTAGATCGCCTTTGTTTCCAACTTTTCCTGCCTGTGAGCACCTCCATCACATACCTATCAGAAACATAAAATGATTGGTACCCTGGTTCCTTCTGTATTACCATCAGGAAGAAGGCAATGGTTTAAGAAACTTGTTCCTTCATCTATAATTAGAGAGATCATATAATTTACTGTCCAAACTAGTGCACTCTTGAGAGTCAAAGGGGTCACAGGAATAACTAAAATTACATATTTATTAGAAAGTGGTGTTTATTGATCAACAAGTTGATACTACCATATTGATGGGCCAATAAAGTAATTCTATTATAAATTATTTCTAAAATGCAATTCTTTCAAAAGTTAAAAGAATATATCTGTGTACATTAAACCAACTTTAAAAATGCTTTAAATATTACCTGAATTAAAAAGGTACTACCTAAATGCTAAAAGATAACAGAATAATTATTCTGGATATGGAGTCACATACTTTAATCAGTTTCTTGGCCATATAAGTCTTAATTACATGCCCCTGGATTTTTCTAATGAAAAATTTGAATTTTTGTGGGAAAAAAAAATTCAAAAAATTATCTACAATCTTTTTCTTTTTTTTTCCCAAATGGCCCCACTTGAGGCTCTTTGGGTTTGTTTTCATAATCATTAGGCATGCTAGAATCACATGGAGCGTCTGTTCCAGCTTTGCTCTGACTCCACAGTGGGGCAGGGGGTAGCTACAGGGCCCAGGTGGTTTGTGTGGCCTCTGGGGGTGGCTAGACCTGAGGGGTTAGAGGTCGGCAAGTTAGCAAAGCCCCAGGAATCCCTCACATAGCACGCCTTTACCCGTAGTAACTTGTATCTAAAGATCTCCTCCTCCTCCATTTTCCTTTCCTTCCCAAATCTTCCCATTTCCCTGCCTGTGGCTCCTTGAACCTCTTTCACTTCTGCTTCTTACGGTTCTAGGCTAGATGATGAAGGGAGCTTTTCCTTGTCCTTCAACAGGCATTAACATGGAAGCAGCTATTTAGGTCTGCATAGGGGAAAGAGCGGAGAAGGAGATGGCAACCCGCTCCAGTGTTCTTGCCTGGAGAATCCCAGGGACTGGGGAGCCTGGTGGGCTGCCGTCTATGGGGTCGTATGGAGTCGGACACGACTGAAGCGACTTAGCAGCAGCAGCAGGAGGGGAAACAGAGACTCCGGGTCCCACTGTGGCTTAGTTCATAGGGGGACTAAGGGACGTGAAGGGGAAAGAACGCCATCTGCAATGAGAATGTTGTAACTAGCGGGACAGCGCACGTGCCCCACCCTCAAACACCCTGCTCTGAAGGCTTTTCCCTCCCTCCCACATTGCCAAGGGTCCCTCTCTCAACCTCAAAACCTCTTGCTCTTCAGCCTCAAAGGGCAAGCAGAGGCACCGTGCATAGGAGCTACATCTCCAGGAGAAAACGGCCCATCCTGAGACAAAGGAACGCCTGTGGAGTTCATCTTCCCCGCGTTTCTTGCAGGCTTTCCTGGTGTTTCAGTGATAAAGAATCCTCCAGCCGGTGCAGGAGACTCAGGAGGTGCCTGGTGGACCCTGGGCCAGAAAGATCCCCCGGAGGAGGAAATGGCAACCTTCTCCAATATTCTTGCCTTGCAGAGGCCCATGGACAGAGGAGCCTGGCGGGCCACAGGCCATGGGGCCGCAGAGAGTCCCAGGACTGAGCGAGTGAGCGCGCGCGCGCGCGCGCACACACACACACACACACACACACACTTGGCCAGAACTTGCCCTCAAGTTCTCAACAGCGAGGCAAACCTTCTGTTTCTGGTGCCGGCAGATCAGTGTCAGACCTCCCCTCCTCCTCAGCCTTCTGGGCATCACCAACTCTCCCCCTTTCCTCTGGACCGGATGCCTGGTTGGTGCTGAGGATTTTTTTTGCTGTTAAGCTCGCTCGCGGGTGCGGCACGTGCAGGGGGACCGAGCTGCCCCGGCGAGGGCCTCTGAGGCTGGGGCGCCGCTGAGGAGGCAGGAGAATGAGCGCGAGAGCCGCCGCGCCACTGCGCGCGCCCGGCTCCAGGCGCGCGCATCCCTCCCGCGGTCCTCTTCCCACCCTGTCCTGTCTGAGCCAGTCTTTTTTGAAGCGCATTTTATGGTTAATCACTTAACTGTAGCACCTCTAGTTGATCCTTCTCCTTTGACCATTTTTTTTTTTAAGAAAATATCTATAGGTATTGAGATACCTATTACGCTCACAGTCATTTCACTAAATGGAGGATATTCTCATTTCCAATTCTTTTGTATTAGAGTATGCTAGTATTGCAACCCAAATGTTTTTATAGGCAAGGTCTTTTTTTTTAACTTCACTTTTTTCCCATGATTTTTTAAATGTTTTACTAGTTTTAGATGGTATGAAATCTTAGACTTTCTGGGTATCATTTAAGTCTCATCGAGAAGAAAATTTGATCTTATTAAAATAGGAGCTCCATCAAAATATTTTTCACATAAGTTGAGATTTTCCAAAGCCCAATTATAGAATTTAAAAATTAAATCTTGTACACATTTTGAACTATCATTATATGATATCATTATATAATATGTTAAATTGTTCCCCTGCTTTCATAGGGGTAAATTTCAGTACCTTCTTGTTTGCAAACTTGATTTTTTATAATTACAATTAACTATACCTTCAAAAACTAAGATTTCTGGCATTCTACGTTTAGAATACTTTGTCTAAAACTTTTCAGCTATTTTGAATAAAATTTCACCAAAAGTTGGAGGGCTCCTTTACCAAGAAAAAGTGCAGGCTAATTGTAGGACTCATCGTTTGATATAGAAAATAGCTCTTTGAAGGCTCAAAGATTTCTAAAATTTTGATTGATGATGTGTAGCAAAGATAAACCACAAGTACTACCATGCTGAACCATTTCTTTAACATCTTTGTCATTGTAAAACCTTCGAAGTTCATTTTCTCTGTGAATATATTAAAATATTTAAATTTGCATAATTACAGCTCTCTTGATTAACAAAATATTGTAGCTTGTTTGGATATAGTTATTAATTATTTATGTTTCACAACCAATTTTAAGCCCCATCTCTATAAATTTCTTAATTTACTAAGAACGTTTTATTTATTCTGCTTGTACGCTACCAAATTTGCGTTTATAGTATCACTATAAAACCAAAAAATTTACACCTGATTGTTGAATATTTTAACTGAATTTATAGTAATATTTATAACTGTGTCAGAAGTTTTGTCTTCCAGTATTGAATATTGAAAATCTTTGCTTTGATTCCGTGAAAAATCAAATCAATAAAATCAAACCAATGTATTCAGAGATGAATACATCTGAAAAGACTGATGTAAAACTGGCTTCATTTAACCATTTACAAGGTTCTTTATGTGATTACAAAGCCCAAAACATTAAAACTTTTCTTTGATTACAAAAAAAAATTTTTTTTAATGACACTAGACAGAAACTTATTTGATCTAAATGAAAAGTCATGTTCACATAATGGTATATAAATGAGCTTTCTGTAGCTGCATGAGGCAAAGCACTGTTTTGAATATACTCTTTTAAAAATAAGTGCAAACTTTTGAAGTAGATTCTGATATTCTTCAGCAGATTTATATCTTTTGATTTTCATGTGATCATTGACATCATGATGGTTCCTGTGGTGGGGAGTAAATGTCAACCAACATTGCAAGTATCACATTCATCTACTTCCTTGAAAAAATTGTACTTAATTTTTCATTGAACATGTGTGTTCTTTTTTTTAGCTCTTCGTGGCTAAAAGAATTTACTAGCAAATAAAAAAATGGATACTGAACAATAAAATAGTTATATTTTTACACCATATAATAAATAATGCTGTTGCAAGAGAGTCCCAGCTACTCTCAGCAAGACTGCTCAGGATCTGTTTTTCACGCTATTCTCACGCTGTATGTTTTTTTCACACTATGTATTTTCACACTATCTGTATTTCACGCTATGTCCGTGTAACATAAACTGCAACATCCCATTTTTTTCTACTGAGCCCAGTGACTTGCAGCCTGGCAGCTCCATATTAATACATCACACAGATCAGAACAGAGGCTGTGGTCTAGCTGGCCGTCCTGCCAAACAGTGGCAAGGGTCATGGGGATACGTTATGTTTTGCTGTGAAAAGCCTCTGGTTATCTTCCATCAGTAACATGTTAAAGGAAGCACTCTTGTTCACCATACATAGGTATCTCTCACTACTAGCTAAGACCATGAGTAGAATAGGAAGGATGGAATTATACTTACATTATTTGCTTGGGATAAACGCTGAATCAGATGAGCTAATGGACAACAAACATGAGCTGGGACTGTCCTAGGCAAACTGGCAGGTATGGTCACTGTATCTGTAATTAAACCCCTAGAGAGGAACTTGGCAACATGCTATTGTTTTGTCTCACCATAACCACAGCCAGGTAACATGCAGCATCCTTGGCTGTCTCCCACCGCACTTTGTTCTCAGCTTCTGTCTACAACAGTCACTGTGCTTTACTGTAATTATCCATCTGAATGCTTGTCATCCCCACTTGGTGTGTTAATTCCTTGAGGAAAAGGATTAGATCTCATACAGTTCTATATCCCTGGTGCTTGATAAAAGTCAGCATCAAGAAATGCTTATTATGGAGTGAATGGAGGGATACGAAGGACCCAGCTGAACTTGGAAAAGGAAAAGAAATTGGTTCTCCCTCTACTATGCTTCTCATACTCTCTGGAGACATGGGACAGGGTGGGATTGGAGGTTGGTAAGGAAAGGCATGTTTGAACCTGCATTTTTCACTCCGTTGGTGATTTGGATGTCATTGGTCCACAGGACATGTTGTCTTGGAGCATGAGCTCTGGCTAAGTAAAGAGGGTGTGTGGTCCATGTGCAGCCCTGCCTGCTAAGTCCCTTCAGTCACGTCTGACCCTGCAGCCCCATAGACTGTAGCCCGCCAGGCTCCTCTGGCCATGGGGATTCTCCAGGCAGGAATACTGGAGCGGGTTGCCATGCTTCCTCCAAGAAATCTTCCAGACTCAGGGATTAAACCCACATTTCCTGCGTCTCCTGCATTGTAGGTGAATTCTTGACCGTTGAGCTACCAGAGAAGCTCATCCACATGCGGGCACCAAAGACAATTTCAGTGTCAAGCAAAATTCTTCTACCAACAACCATTGAGGTCTTCGGGAGAGCCAACATCTCCACAGTTTTTGGAGAGGAAGTTTCTCCAGCAAAGGGTTATTTCCAGAGGAAGTATAAGTCTACAAACAGACTGCAGCAGATTAATCCAACCAAACTTAGCACATGCCTTTATAAGCACTACAGCCCATGCTTAGAAATAAGACTTTTGTGTTTCTTTTAAGAGAAAATAGTCAGTGGTCAGAGTTAAGAAAGAATGGTTTCTTACAAATAGTAGAACCATTTTTATAGAAGTGAAAGGCTCACTGAACAACTTCTTGTTGACTATTTCAAAATTCAGACTGCTTTTTAATTATCGACTTCTGTCAACTTTCATCGTAATCGCTCATCCCTTTATCAGGCATTTATTGAACACCTACTATGTGCCAGGGACTGGTCTAAATGCCAATGAACAGCAATGAGGAAGACCTTGAACTCAAGAGTCTACTGTCCAGTGGGAGAGAGACATGGCCACTGCTGTAAAGCGGGAAGTAGGCGATGAGTGTAAACTTAACAGACTGGACTCAAGGCGCCAGCCCTCCACCCTGAGCGCCCGCTCCCGATCCTGGCTTCAGAACAGGCTTGCCACACCTCTGCTCTCCACCTCCTCCCTTCTACCGATTCCTCTTCCTTGCTTCCAACTTCGCTGTCTTAGGCGCAGGTCTGCAGGGAATACCTGTGTAACACAATCTTCATGCACTTCCCATGGTCATTTCCTTAGAATACAGTCCTAGAAGTAGAATTCCTGGGCTAAAATATATGCAAAATACACTTAATCTTTTGCTGCTTGTTCCAAAATTACCGAAGATGTCGTTAATCCATGCATCTGTCTGCTCTGTACAAGAATTCCCATTTCCACTGCCTCATGAGTGGTTATCATTCTTTTTTTCATTAAATATTAGCCCATTTTGAGGTGAAATGGTATCTTGTTTTAATTTGTTCTCTACATTACCAGTGAAGTTAAAGAAAATGTACATTACCCATGATGCTCTCATTGAGTACCAAGCACCATGATTATCATTTTGCTGTACCTATTTTTTCAATGTGCTATTATACAGTTAATATAGTTGAACATGGGCTTCCCTGGTGGTTCAGATGGTGAAGAATCCACCCTCAGTACAGGAGACCTGGGTTCAATCCCTGGGTTGGGAAGATCTCCTGGAGGAAGGTATGGCAACCCACTCCAGTATTCCTGCCTGGAGAACCCATGGCCAGAGGAGCCTGGCGGGCTACAGTCCATGGGATTGCAAAGAGGCGGGCACAACTGAGTGACTAAGCGCGGCACAGCACATAGTTGGGTATATAATACACATACAACATGATATTCTGCTTTTTTTAACCCCATAACAGTATCATCAGCATTCCCCGCCCCGGACATTTCCTTAGAGTCTTTATAAGTATTATCTTTTTAAAGTTTTATTATTTTATTTATATAGTTGTTTATTTTTGACTGCACTGAGTCAAAACTCTTCATTGCTGCCAGCGGGCTTCTCTCTAGTTGTATCAAGCAGGGCCTGCTCTCTAGATGCAGGGCACAAGCTTTTCATCGCAGCGGCTTCTCTTGTCGCAGAGCAAGGCTCTAGAGCAGGAGGGCTTCCGTAGTTGTGGCACATGGGTTTAGTTGCTCCCTGACATGTGGGATCATCCCAGATCAGGGATACAACCTGTGTCTCCTGCTCTGACAGGCAGATTCTTTATTCCTGGGCCAACAGGGAAGCCCTATAATCGTTGTCTTTAAAGGCTGCATATTCATGTAGCTTACACACACATACTTAAAAAAAAAGTGTAATTTCAATTCCTCAAGAATGTGAAAGTTGTTTCATTCTCTACATGTTAAGAAAAACTGAAGGTGGTAGATGATTTTTCTCAACCACATCCATTGTTAACTTCCCACAGGAACTGCAAAGCCTCCGAACTGGCCTAAGCCTGTCTATGAACTAGATGAAGAGGACCCAAGGAACAACGGCTTCATCAATGATGACTTCATCGTGTGGATGCGGACAGCCGCCTTTCCCACTTTCAAGAAACTGCACCGCCGACTCCATCGAATAGACAATTTTACCGAAGGCTTACCTGCTGGTAGCTATAGTTTCATCATAAACTACAGTATCCTTTTATTCCGGGGCAGAAGGAAAATCAGTGTCTATCTGCATACTAGTTATTGAACTATTTCATTCTATACTTCTCTATTCTCCAATCAAATCTATATACACTGTAAAAGAAATACATATTTATCTTATAGACAATACTGTCACTCCATCACCACATAGCTATTTGTCTCTACTTTATATATAATCAAATGTGCACTTTTTTAAGGAGTAACAGTAGCAACTTTAGGTAAGCAGGTAGGGTAAGTAAGGAAGGACTGTTTCTTCCCCAGGAGAAAAATTGAGTAACAGTGGGCCTAGAGATCTAAAACAGTGAGGAGAAAAGCCTGTTATATAGGATGGGATGACGTGGAGGACCCTGGAAATAAAGATAGAGAGGATTACGAAGAAGTGGATTTGAATATGGACTCAAAGCAGTGAAAACTGAGAGTGATGGTAGAGCCTTTGATTTTAGGCGGAAGTTTCAGGGGCCAAGGCAGCAGCTCTGGACTCAGGGAGCAGCTTGGGTCCCTCCAGCCCACGTGAGCTGCCCCACCAGCTCTGCGCTGAGGAGCCTTGCTCTTCCTCTGCTGGTCCGACGCCGGCTAGCAGGCGCCGAGGCCTCGGTTGTGGACATGTGGCCCACATTCAGAGACATTCTTGAATATGAGATTCTGAGTGTTCCCAGTTACTTTAAGAATATAAGTGTCACTCTTGACTTAAGAACAAAAAGTTCTTAACTTCAAAATGACACCAAACACTATCTTTAAATATATATATATAGGTATATATATATATATTTTAATATAATTTGTACTAACTCTGGTCTTTAGACTTAGTTTTCAAGTCCCTTCCTGATTCTCTCTGAGGCAGAATTCTCCCGGAGGCAGGTCTTTCCAGGACTTGCACACAGTTTTGAGACATCAGCCCAGTAGGCATCAGCACCCCCGTGGCATCTCAGGGCCCCTGGAGTTTTTCCCGGGACCCCCAGCAGGCTAGAGGATCTGAACACCCAACTCACTACCTCTTCTGTTTCTTTACCACTTGAGGAGTTTGCCTGAAACATTCTTGGGTCGGTGAATGATGACCTGTGTTCCAGTTCCCTGCTCCATCTTTTCTCCTTTTCTGTCGTAGAGCAGAGGTTTCCTCCCTGACACAGGAGTGGGGATGTTCCTTGGGCAGAGATGCCTCCACTGAAGAGGCACCATCTCTGCCTCTCACCGCATTGCTTCCTCGTGTCTGCTGACCAGGGGTACGGTTTGCCCTCAGCTGTGCCTTTAGCATGGTCGCTAACACTAGCCTGTGCAAAGGAAAGTCGGAAATGTCTCTCTGTGTGTACAGACCAGAGACCAGGCCACAGAACATTACCTTTGCAACAGGATTTCAGCACCCCTCTCTCGCTCCTAGAACATTTGAGATTGAAAGCTGCTCAACAGTAGTCTTTCAAGTTGGACCTTCAGTCCTCATCAGCTTTTTCTGTGATGACCCTACCAGTAAAGCAGTTAGGGGAGCGATCAAGACACAGGGGGGAAAAGCCCATTGGGTCCTGGTGCTCTCACAAGGCGCTGCAGTGAGTTTAAGGTTGATGGAAAGAGGGAGTCCACTTCCAAACAAAGGAGACACCATTTCTCGGCGTGAAACACGCTCTCCTGGGATGTGTTTATTCACAGTCATATTTTAATGCTGACAACTCTCCAACCTAAATCTTGAGCTCAGAACCTCAATCCTGAGCTTCAGCCCTATGCCTGTACCACCTACGTTGAACCCTAGTGTGAGTATTACCCGTCCAGCCTAACAGCCTGGCTAATATGCAGAGAGCCAAGCCTGAGCTGCAGCTAGTTCTCCCACTGACCCCCTGTGAGGAAAAGACCCTCTTAACGAAACCGGGGCGGGGGAGGGGGGTGGTAAGAATCAGAGGGCTCGTTGAGGACCTGCACCCAAGGAGCCCAGGAACCTGGGGACCATGAGGAATTTTGATGGAAAAGAAAGCAAGCTAGCTTTCCTAACTAGTTTCTTTGTGCCTTTAAATAGCATGTTGCCAAGTGATTTGAGGCCTTTTAAGAGCTTTGCTGGGAAATGCCGTTGCTATGAGAAGCCTTTATTTGTTTATTAGTTCGGTTTACAAAAAGCACCAGATGTTTAAAAACCTCAGGCCACATGCATAATCAAAATGACATAATTCAAATGCTAATGATAGCAAAGCCACTTCAAACACTTTCTCCCTAGCAGTGAGGGTTGCTGGCCTTTTCAAAACTTGAATATACCACCAAAAATGTTTTGCCATCTCTCTCACTACTTTTTTGTTCTTCACTCCTCTTGAAGAATTTTCCCTGAGGTACAAATTTAAACCTTAGCCTCTAAAGGACTTGAGCCTACCCTGGGTGTCCTGATCCACAAACACAAATTTAGGCTTGCTGCACAATCTATCTATAGGCTTTTCATTTCCTTGGGTTTGTAAATTAACTGTATTTGTTCATATTATTGAATTATCTGTAAGTCATTCAGATCCGTTTGTGTCCGTTTCTTTCATAGATTACAACTATGTAGAGGGAAAGCTTGTTTTTACTTAGTTTCTTTCCAGCAAGATAAAACATACTACTTGGTAAAGATTAGGCTAAATGAAGTTGAATAGTCAACCATTTATCGCCTACAAAAACAGCAATATTAGGTGTCGAGGTGGGGCTGAGAAGTGCTGAGACAGATCCTTAACAAATTGTCTTTCCTTAGACTTTCCCGTAAGCAGGTTCCAAGGACAAAAAGCACTTGTTCTCTCCACCCTGACGTGGAGTGGAGGCAGCAGCCTTTTCTTAGGCCTCGCCTATCTGGTGACAGGAGCTGTGACTTTGTTGGCCTTCTTTTCCATGATGGCAGTTCACCTGAAGCTGAAAGAAAGGAAAACGTTCTTCCTCCAGTAGTAAAGTCAAGCATTAAAAAGAAAAACAGAAAATACAGAAATGGACAGTGAAGTAATGGAGCCAAAGATCTCAAAATGGGGTCTTCTACCAAGGGGAGCTGGACTCACTGACCAAGTACTCTTCCAGAGACATACGTAATAAGAGTTTCAAAGTAAAGAAAAAGAAGAGAAGGAGGCATAATTAGGTATAGTAAAATGTCCTTGGGATGGGGAGGCTAAATCATCCTTGAGTTCTAAACCAAGTCTCGGGTATTTATTTGAAGCCCTTGCGCCTGAAAATAAGTGAATGCCTAGGAGGGTAGCATCAGCAGATGAGAGGAAGTAAAGCTGGGGCCCCAAGATTAGGTGAGTCCTTTTAACCATCAGTCAGGCTCAGACTCTGAGCCTTCACTGGCTGGTTGAAATTATAGACTCCCCAGCCACAATTTTTGATCACTGAATTGAGCCATCGGGATGATTTTTGAAAATGGATTTATTCAATGTTCTCTTCTTTCTGTGGGTCAAAATGAAGTTTTCTTTTCTTTTCTTTTTTTTTTTTTTCTTTGAAGTTTTCTTACTAAGAGTAAGCCAAGCAAAGGTTATGGCAGTAGTCCTCAGAGCACCCAAAATACATCACTACACCAAAAAGATAGTCCAGGAATTTCCCTAAAGCTACCCATGAGGCCAAAAAGGAAGTACTGAAAGTGACTGATGCTCTCAAAAGCTGTGCTCAGCATGTGAGGGTGCAACACGGTTCTGAAACTTACATCGGAATGACACTCTAGGGAGAATGTGGGTGGCGACGCGGATTTGTGATACTTGAATTACACATTTTGAGGGAGTTGTTAGGGTCCATCTTAAAAGATTTGAAGTCCTGCTAAAGGCCACTTTAAAGGAGACTGAATGGCATGCAGCTGACCCTTGAACAGTGCAGGGGTTAGTGGCGCGGACCCCCACGCCATCGAGAATCCACCTATAAATTTACAGTTGGCCATTAATACCTGTGGTTCTATCAGTACATCCACGGATGCAACCAGCTGTGGATCATGTAGTGCTGAAGTGTCTACTGAAAAGTCCATGCCGGAGGAGACACTTGCCCTTCAACCCGGGTTGTTAGAGGATCAGCTGTACTTGGTCAGGCTGCCAGGGCAGCAGACTTGATGGATCCGCATAACTAGGTAACCAGTGTACTGTACTGTAAAAAACATGTTTATGTATTATTTTTATTTTTTGAGGTTGGGGGAAGCTTTACTCTATGATGACTCTAAGAGCAGAATTTTCGTTGTTAGAAACGTAGCACCAATACGTAGATGTCTTTTTAGCAGCCAAGAAAGCATTTCTTTGCTGCAACTTTCTGTGTTCACCAAACGGTCGAGTACTTTTCCAAACACACCAAAATGGTTTCAGGTACCAACCACTGACCTCGCTGGACCAGGTTGTGGTAGGCTGAGTAATGCCCACTGCAAAGATACCCACATCCGAACCCCTGGAACCTGTGAGTGTGACCTTGAACCCAGAAGCCACTAGTGTGGCTGCGTGTTCAGGCCCTCAGTCGTGTCCACCTCTTTGTGACCTCATGGGCTGTGGCCTGCCAGGCGCAGGCTTTTTTCCATAGGATTTTCTGGGCAGGAATATTGGAGTGGGATCTTCCCGACCCAGGGATTGAACCTGCGTCTCTTGCATCTACTGCCTTGGCAGGCAGATTCTTTACCACTGTGCCACCTTGGAAACCCAGAAGACAGTTTGCAGGTGTGATTAAGCTAAGGATACTGACATGGGGAGACTATACTGGATTATCTGTGTGGGCCTAATGTAATCATAAGGGTCCTCATAAAAGTGAGGCAGGAGATCAGAGGAGTAGGGGGGGATGTGTCTATGGAATCAAGAGGTTGGGGTGATACAAAGAAGGAGTTGTGATCCAAAGAATGCAGGCAGCCTCTAGAAGCTGAAAAAAAGCAAGTGACACAAGCTGCTAAAAGTCCTACTGACACCTAAATTTGAGAGCTCTGACCTCTAGAACTGTAAGAAAATTAATTTATGCTGTTTTTAGCACAAGTATGGTCATTTGTTATAGTAGCGATAGAAAACTAATATATTAATACCATGGGTTGGCAATGCTCTGGTCGTCTGAACAATTGTGGTTTCTTGAGCTTAGGTGACCTGTCCAGGGCAGAGAGCTAGGAAGGAACAGAGCTCACACGGGAACCAAACCCAGCAACTTCAGACCCTGGGCTCGCGCCCCTTCAGTCCACACTCCTCAGTTATGATGTTGACTGGAAAAAGTCATGAAGACATCTGTTACGTCTCAGTCTTGTTTGTCAGCTTATAAACTGCTGTATTAGTCAAGGTTCTCTAGAGAAACAGATTGGAGATGTGTGTGAGTGTGTGTGTGTGTAGGGAGATTTCTTTTCAGGAAATGGCTTGCATGATTGTGGGGGCTTGGCAAATGCAAAATCTGATGGGGGAGACTAGCAGGCTGGATGCTTAAGAAATAGTCGCAGTTCAAGCCAGAAGACCGTCTGCTAGAATGCCAGCAGGAATTGGTGTTGCAAGTGGAGCCCAAAGTCTGTCAGCTGGAGAATTCCCTTTGTCCAGGGGAGGTTAGCACTTTGTACTACAGGCTTTCCATTGGCTGCATGAGACCCACTCACATTATGGAGGGCAATCTGCTTTACTCAGCCGACTGATTTAAATGTAAATCTCATCCAAAAGCAGTCTTACATGCTTGCCGCATCTACTGAGCCTGCATGCTCTAGAGCCTGTGCTCCACAACTAACGAAAGCCCACTAGAGAAAGCGTCAACAAAGATCCAGCACAGCCAAAGTGTGAATAAATAATTAATTTTTAAAAACAGCCTCCCAGAAGCATCCAGAACAGTGTTTGGCCAAGTATCTGGGTGCCATGGCCCAGTCAAAGTGAAAGTTCAATTAAACCCCTGCCTTATGTGACAAATCCACGATGCCAAGGATACCAGAGTGAGCCATTTGGGGCCCTGGTCTCAAGGGACTCTTCTCGCATGGGTCTCTCTGTCCTTCCAAACCCATTCGCCCAGCTGAGTGTGGATCCCACAGTCGCCTAATGTGGGTCTCACGTAGCTTGCTAAAATGTCAATCAGGCCTCCGGGACTGAAGAGAGACCATGCTGCCCTCAGGATAGCACCAGCCCCCCACCCCCGCAGTGTGATCCCAGGACCCCAAAGTCCACACTGGGCACACAGAGGTGTTCCTAAGTTGATAAAAAATATAATCCTTCCCAGCCTGCACTAAAGCCTTTGTTGTGAAGCCTGGGTTTTCAGCTGGTTTGTTTCATGTAGAGGCTTTATTAAGCAAATGTTAATAAAGGAAAACCAGCTTCAGACAGCTGCTGGTGGTGTTCCTTCACAGGACGGCGCTGCAGCCTGCAGTTGTCAACGTTTCAGTCTCTGGATATTCCCCAGTGGGAGGACAGAAGAGCAGAGTTCCTGTGGCTTCTCTACTTGGTGCAACACAGGGAAGCCCATGGCCCTTGCTGCCAGAAGCCACTCAAGCACTCAGCCCGGGGTCCCACTCCTCAGCACTGGCTCACGAGTCTGTAGCTAAGTCAGCCTTAGTTTGGCAAATAAGCGCAGCACTCTGAAGTCTTTATCTCTACTAACCAGGTTTCAAAAACCTTCATTCTCCTTGCACTGGTTTACAGTGTCAGTATCTTTGACACTTCTTAGATAAATGCATTGTAGGATGAGCCATGTTTTATCTACGCTCCTCCCTGCCCGGCCTGACAGTTCCCTTAAAATAGCTAGCTATCTGGTAAATGATTAGAAGAAAGAAGGTCAAATTATGAGATTTGGATTGCAATGACCCAGAAGCAAGCAAAGCTTCTTTAAGCTGGGGGGTGGGGGGTGGGGAGGGGGACTTTTCCTGCAAAGGGTCAGGCTTGTGCAGTGTCCCCATTCTAATCCTGTGGCATCCAGCGACATGACTCAGGGCCACGCCGACAAACGTAGGAAGTCTTCAAAGTCTGGAGAGTGAAATATTGTCTTACACTGAATCTTCCCTTTCTGATTAGAGTGGAGCCTGTCTCCTGCTTCCAGAGACAGGATCCAGTTTTCTTATTCATTTTCACTGCAGTTGGAATGGAAAAACTGAAGTCATTGCTCTGATGGTGAGGGACATCTTGCAGCACCCACAGAGCCAGCGGTCTGTGCAGAGAGGCGTGGGGCGCCTTTCGCCCCTTTTCTCTATGGGAGGAGCTTCACTCCACTGAAACAGATGATTTTTAGTGCAGGCTAACATGGCAGAAATAACTTAGGCTCTGCCAATTTTTTTTTCTTCTTTTTTGTTTATAAAGATTTCTCTGTTTCTTTCTTATAATCAACATCCATGGGTTGACCATAAAAATATATCCCTGAGTTTGAGGTCAGGAACTTTCTTGAGAGGTCGGGGAGATTCCAAATGGTTTGTGGAAAGGAGAGCCGCAGAACTGCACAAAGTAGGTTGGGGAGGACGAGACGAGAAGTCCCTCGGTTTAGGAAAGATGAGCAAATCTTTTGGATTTCCATCTTTCTTCTCAAGCTGAAAAATAAGCTCTCCCCTGAAGGGGGAGAAAGAGGGGAAATGAAACAAAGAATTAAGGGTGTCTGGCCCAATTAGACGTCCGCTACCTACATTACTGCATTTCATCTTCACAACAAAGGGATGAGACAGATCTGTTACCCTCCCATGAATCACTTCCCTTACCCTTCTTCCCTCTGGTCAAAGCCCACTAGATACATTCTTTGCCTTTGGGTAGGAATAGCCAAGGGATCCAGTTCTGACTATGGGACTTAAGAGAAAGATTCTTGGTGGAACTGGGAAAGGAAGAGCTCTCTTGTCACCTACCTGCCACCTGCTTCCTACATATAAACGCGGTTGCACAAGGACATGATGCCCAGAGCTGTGGCAAGAGGTAAAAGAGCTGAGGGCTCAAAGTTTCATACCGAGGATGGTCGAATGGAGGATGGAAAGAGCTTGATTCTTTTTTTATAAGTTATTTTTAATTGAAGAATAGTTGATTTATAAGATTGTGTTTGTTTCAGGGGTACAGCAAAGTGATTATTATATATACATCTATATTTTTAGATTATTTTCTATTATAGGTTATTATATGACTTTGAGCACAGTTCCCTGTGCTTCACAGTAAATCCTTGTTGGTTATCTGTTTAATGTATAGTAGTTTGTGTTAATCCCTACTCCTAATTTATAATCTTTGATAACCATACATCATCTTCTATGTCTGTAAGTC